CCAAGATCATTATAGTAATCATAATCATATATTCGATCCCATTGTTTCCTCTCATCTTTCAACCCTCCTCTCAGTTTCTGAAGTTCTTTCTGTCTCAATTTTTCTAACCCGGGAGGCGTTTCCCTTGGAAGACATAACTGTCAGGCGAGGGCAACAATATAAACGAGTGGTTGCTCAAGTTAATATAAAAAGTATGTTTTAGTTACAAATTGTACAAAAAGATTCGTGCAAAACCCAATAATTGTACAATTATAGTAAAAAAAAAAATTGTAAGCAATGTGAATCGCTGGAAGAATTGATGTTACTTAACATACTTGGTTTAAGAAGAAGACCCGTTTAACACCGGTCTTGTCGAGAGGGTATACCCAGGAACTACAATAGAAGTGGAACTTCTGATCGTCAGTAGCAGGTTTACTGTACTGTAGAGTGGCCGATTTAAGGAAGAACTCATGCTTGTCTCTGTTTTCTATAACAAAAGCCCTTGGAGTCCCGAATTCTGGCACCACCGTAAATTTCAATTTAAATTCGATTATTCTCGTTGGCAGATTGATTTTACTCTTCGTGATTGGAATCTTTTCTCTACGTGACACTGTCCCCTGGAATAGGTATGCCTTCTCACTTTCTAATCCTTTCTTGGTGCCTGTTAATTACATTACTTTATAGCCAATGAAGCGTAGGATTAATTGTTATAACGGTAAATACTATTAAATTATCAATTGAAGAACCGTATCTATATTATTAATTTTATAGAGATTAGTGTAAAGGGCGGTGTCCACGTGGCACTTCTCCCTTTCACTAATCTCTTTTTTTTATTAAATTTATTTTTTATTTTTGTTTGATTTTTTTATTAGATAAATTTTATATAAAAATCAATAAAATTAGAAATAATACAATAATAAGTATTCAATTGATTTTAATTCATAACGATCTAATTTAAATGCATTATTTTTTTAAAAATAGAGATTACATCGAGATCTTTTTACAAAAATAAAGTGTGATTGGAATCAAATTTAATGTGTTTCATCTTGTTTTAGTATCCATGTCATATCTCTTTCCTTTTTTATTTTCTTTGTTTTATAAAATTTTTTCTTTTTAGATTTTATTTTTTTTAATTTTATTTTTTAAAAATAAATTTTGTAATTAACAAAGTCAATTGATATAAAATGATAAAATAATTCATATCTAATGGGTCTCAATTTATTTTGATCTAATTGGTGTTTTTTTTTTAATTTGAGATAATTTAGTTAAATTTTTTTAATTTAGCTCCGATAAGAATAAGGTTTTGAGTTTAGGTTTTGGAATACATAAAAAATATATATTTATTATGTATTTAATTTGATATTTATATTTTTTATTAAAAATATTATTTAATACATTAATTAATAAATTGACTTGTCAACCCATTTGCTTTTTTTTTGTCTTTTTTTTGTTTTTTAAAATTTGATTTATTAAATAAATTTTGAAAAAAAATTTTAATGAATGTAGAGATGTCAAAACAACTTACATGGTCCAATCAAAGTTTTTTTTTTTTTTTTTTTAAAAAGGATTGGATTAAGTTTTGCTTTTTTGAATAATTTGAGTTAAGTCGAGATAAGTTTTGAGGTGTTCTGTCCTACCCTTTTCGGGATATATAAAAAAATATATTTTATTATTTATTTAATTTATATTTATATATATAATTAATAAAAATATCATTTAATATTTTAATTTAATAAAAATATATTTATATATAATTAAGTTATAATTTATATTAAAAAATAAAAGTATTTATATTTGTCTATATATTTCATATATTGAAACTTGACATAAAAAATTTGCTTATCACATATTTAAGATATAATTTTAAAAAATAAAAATAATCTTACAGTAATACGCAGGACTAATATATATATATATATATATATATTATGATAAGATACAAAGTTATAGAAAAAATGTGTTGACATAAACGTTTATGTGGATAGCCTTTCTTCATCACATATAGGATAATGTTTATACTATATTATTTAATAAGTAACTCATTTAATAAATTATTTAAATTTAATATATTTGGATAAATATGTAAATTCAAATCAAAATCTATAAAATATTAAAAACTTTTTTATAAATTTTAAATTCAAATATATTAAATTATAACTTACCTTTCTTTTTAATTTTAGTCATAATTCCAAATATATATAGACTTAATAAATTTTATCTAATGTCAAATAATTTTATTTAATAAATTATCTAAATTTAATATTTTTGGATATCTATTTAAATTCAAATCAAACTCTATCAAAAATTGAAGATTTTACATAAATTTTAAATTTAAATATATAAATTATAATTTATCTTTTTTTTAAGATTTAATCATAACTCTACATATATATGTATGTGTATATGTGTGTAAGTTTAACAAATTTTTATTTGTTGAAATTAGATTCTCAAAGTAAAAACAAATAGCTCATAAAGTGAGAGCATCATCTCCAAACCAATGTTATTTTATTTATTATTATTGGTATTAGAAATTGAAGAGTATAATTTTTATTATTTGACAATTATTATTTATAGGTTTTGATAGGAATGGACAAAAGTTAGAAAAAATAATAATCACATTATATTCATGTACAAGTAAATTCATTTTATGCTTTTATTAGTCTTTTATTTCTTTCATTATTATTTCTGTTTTAAAAATAAGTATGTGATGGTGATGGATTATTTTTTTTATAATATTGATTTTTATTTTTTATTTTTTAGATTTCAATAATGAAAGAAATTTGAGGGCACATTTTTCATATTTTATTTATTTTTTATTTCCTCTATTTGTTTGTTTCTTTAAACATTTCATTTGGTTTTATTTGTATTATATGATATTATATTTGGATTTGATTTATTCTAAAAAAATAGTTCATTTGTTTTTATATACATATTTAGTTAAGCTGAGTATTTGCTATGCATAAGTACAAAAAATTTAAATTATATATACATTCTCAATTGTATATTTGATTTATGTTCTAATAAAAAAACAATTATATACGTTAAAAGTATATATATGTAAAAAAATAAGAATTAATAAAAAGTAAATGGTTATGAGCAAATTAATAATTATGTTTGGTTGTTCAATCATATATATATATAAATATTATTATTATTATTATTATTTGAGGTTTTATTTTCGGTTTAGCTTTATAAGATTTAATAGTTTAAGAATATTATGCTAATATAAATGTCTTTTACAATTTAATCAAATGATAAATTTTTTATAGATCCATATCAAACAATTATTAATCTTGACTATTTTTATTTTATTAAGACAAAGTAAACTTTTATTAAAAATAGTGAAATGATTATAAATATCCAACCACAATTAATAGTATAATATAGCACAAAAAATAATATAAACCCTAAAGAAGTTGTACCAACATCACATGATAAATCTAAAAACTTAGATGACAATATTCCTAACACTAAAATTTCATATAAACCAACAATAAAAGTCTTGACTCTTTAAAATTGAACTTTGTTTTTTTGATCGAACAAAAAAGAACGAATAACAAAATTTTTGTTGTTTAGTAAATGAATTGAAAAATTAATTTTTTTTAATGAAAAGAATTACTTTTATAATTTTTTGAAAATTTACAAAAGCTTTGACTTTAAATGAGTATTACAATATATAGGTGTATATAAATTGTTATTTAATTATAACTTAACATTTATGAATGTAAGATTATATATAATAGATTAACAAAAGTTTGCATATTCTTTTATTAAAGTAATATAAAAAAATTAAGGTTAATAAAAAAAATTAAAAAATCATGTGCTTGGCAAAGGTTAAAAAGCTAGTTCTAATATATGTTAACTAAAAGATGGTGTATGATGAAATACATGATGTGGAAAATGTTTATGTATTTTGGGTTTTATATATATATATATAACATACCTGGATCCACTTTTTGACTGCTGTAAATCCGAATAGAAACTGATCGTCCAGTGGCGTGGAGAGACAGCCAAAGGCTGTGATCAATCTTAAAAGTTCCCTCGATTATGTGTTTTTCAGGGTCAGGGCGATGGCAAAATGTTTGCAGTACTCCTTCACAGCAACAAACCACATTTTCTTCCATAACCTTGTTTATCAGAATTTTCTGTTCCTGTAGGTGCTTTTACCTGTAAAAATCGCCTCCTGTTTTATTAGAGGTGAGGAAAATTAATGGACAGCTGATCAGATAATGCTTGCTTGCACTTGGAGATGATCGATATAAGCGCGGGAATGTTCTTAGTTTTCGTTGTGAGCTTTGAATCTAATGCCTTGCCTCCCCATGAGTTTTATTGTTCAGCACTTTTGACCTCAAATTCCCACCCACCCTCATCATTTCTGCTTCCTTTCCTCACTGTTCAAATATTATTTAATACCATGTCATGTCACTATCAGTAATTTGTCTGTTTTGATTTTTTTTTTTACTTTTTATCCTATACTTAACCTTAACCCTTTATACTTATTTAAGTAAAAATAAAAAAAATGCATAATCAATTTTGAATCCCTAACCTTTAAATATCAGCTTCTTAATATATTCTCACTTAAATTCTACTTCCCTGGGAGATATCAGAGTATACATTTTTAGTCCTCTATTTCAAATCTAATTTAATAATTTCAATTTAATACAATTTTCATTAAAAATTTTATTTTTAATATAGATTGCATTTCTATAATTTATAAAATAATAATCATTATAATTTTAAAATATTAATTTTCATTTAACTTATTTATAATTTAATATTTATTAAAAATACTATTATAATAATAAATTAACATTTTTATTCGAAATTAGCTTTAATTAATTGAATTCTAATCTAATTCATATATCAATGCTAATAAAAATTAAAAATAAAATTGTAATCTTAATAATCTTAACTATTTAATTTTATTAATGGATTGACTATGATTATAATTAAAAATGTTACAACCGATTGTTGTTATGTTATATATTTATTAAAACTTTGCCATAACAAAGAAAACTTTCTCATAACAAAAAACACACATTTTTGGTCCTTCAAAAAAAAAAAAAAAACACAATTTTGGAAAATATTGCGTAAAATGTTTTTTCTTCCCTAAAATGTTGGTACACTGCAGGCTGCCGAACCATAGAGAGCAGCTCCGATTAACCGAACCAAATTGCTGAAAAAAACCAACTTTCTGAAAAAAACCAACTTTAAACGGCCCTTTGAACTGAACCCCCTCTCAGTCTCTCTCTCTCTCTCTCTCTTTCCCCAAAAATGGCGATTTCAACACTCCAAAAACTTACCTCCCACATCCACCGCTTCCCAACACTCTCCTCCCACGTCCCTACTCGATCCTCCGCCACCTTATCCTCCTCCAACAAAGTTGTCGACCGGATCGTCAAGCTCTTCGCCATCGACCCAGAAGGCCAGAAGCGTGAGATAGTTGGCCTAGCGGGCCAGACCTTACTTCGGGCCTTGACTAACAGCGGACTGATCGATCCGGCCTCTCACCGCCTCGAGGAGGTGGAGGCTTGCTCCGCCGAATGCGAGGTCAACATCGCTCAGGAATGGCTCGAGAAGCTGCCACTCCGTACCTACGACGAGGAATATGTGTTGGTAAGGAATTCGAGGGGTCGTATCCTGAACAAGCATTCCAGGCTTGGGTGTCAGGTCGTGCTTACGCCTCAGCTCCAAGGTATGGTTGTCGCTGTCCCCGAGCCTAAGCCCTGGGATGTTCCATAAAAATTTAGAGAAATAAAGAGATATGAGGGAATTGTTATTGTATTTCTGTTGTTTTTGTGGGAGTAATAATAATTTTGGTATATTGAAAGAAACGGATTTCATTTGTGATTTTTGTGCATTGCTGCCCCCATGTGATTTGGGTGCGTAGAATTTAAATGCAAGTTATTCTACGGATTTTGATGTTATTTTGGGATTTTCTTCAATGCCTATGCTTCATTAGGTTGCTGGAAAGTTTAGGTAATTAATTTATAAGTTTTAAAAATTATTTAGAAATTGCATTTAATTTTAGTGGATTTTTTTCGTGGTTAAAGCTTGATGCTACCTGGTGTAATGGGAACCGAGAATTCTGGGTTTGTACACCGAGTAATGACACATGGTCTTAGAGGGAACTACTATGTAACTGTGAGCATTGCCGTATTTCCTTTCTTTTTTATCTATTACCGCGTTGGAAACAAACTTTGCATCCTTCTACTTATCTTGACCTTGTTTCCTGGGTGAAGGTGGGCTTTGCTTCTAGGTGGTTGGCTTGGTTTAACCATCTCAGGATTTTATCAGCCATGCTAGGTATAACTGTCTATGCTCTAAAAGGTGCTTGTTTGTGTTATTTGGTACGTATCTTGAAACCAATAGATTGTCATTTGAATCTGGGTTGAACATTGTCTTTGAGCAATAGATTTGTAAATAGTGGTATAGACAATCCAGTGATGGCTGTGCAGTTAGTTCTGTGGCTTGACATTGGAGAAGGACTGAAGATGTTGGAACTGTAAGAGCCCTTCTGGAAGGAAATTGCCAGCAACTGTGATTGAAATGAATGTGAGATTATTCTTCAAGTGTTAAAGATTAGGTAGTTTGACAGATGTTCTAGAGCTGTAGCAAATAAAGAACAGCATGATTGTTTCTTTTGAAGGTGTCTGATTTTGTTAATTTGAGGTATCAAAGTTGTTTGATGGAGGTACATTTGCTGGAAATTTTTTCGGTACATTACTCCTAAATGTTTAGTTGTTGATCTTTAATTCCTCAGTAAACCTAGTGTACATATAACTGATTATAGGTGATGCAATTTTACATAGTCCAATGTTTTATGAGCAAAGGGAGTGTTTTGTTTAGTGACTTCATGCATGGAGTGAACTGATTATAGGTGTTGCAATTTTACATTGTCCAATGTTTTATAAGCAAAGGGTGTGTTTTGTATGGTGACTTCATGCATGGAGTGAATTAAATAAGTACAGCATCAAATTGCAGAGATTATGAATTTTCTGGCTAGTGACCAAGATCATTAAAAAAATTGCATGTTCATTTCACTTGAATGGATATTCAGATTTCTTAGAAAGGAGATAATCCACTGCCTTAAACAGTTCACCTGATCTTTGATTCAATTTAGCCTTCAGTGTTAGCCTAAGTCGCAAAAGTATGGGGCAGAGCTGAATTATGTCCGATGGGTTCAAAATATTATTGGTTACAAGCAAAAGAAGTTTCTAATAAAAGTTGAATTGCTAGGACATTCCAGTTTAGAGGCCATCCTATAGATGCACTTTAATACCAGGATAGAGCTCAAAAGGTTGTGAATTTTTAGTTTTTCTATACCTGCCAGTGCTTTTGCTTTTGTTGTTATTTTAAATGGAAGATTTGGCTTTTGATAAGTGAATGAATAAGATGGGAAGAATTTGGTCAGGCTTTGTACTCTTAATCCGAATATGAATTTCTGTTTCCCAGTAAAAGTGTACTTTGTTTTACTTTAAGGCATTAGTAGAGCATTCAATAGAAACTCATTTGAGTCCTGTTAGGTTAAATGTCTGTAGTTAGTTTGTTTAATGGAAGTTACTTTTTTTCTCTTTAAAGTGTGATCCTAACTTTGTTCCTGAATTAGACTTCGATTTTCAACTTATATTTCAAGATATACTCCTAAGTTTCTTTTTCTGAAGGATATCTCAACATGCCTTATATCATGTAAGTCATAATCTTCAATATTGTTTCAATTTTAATCTGTCAAGCTTGGACGGCAAGATATGATTATTCTTATAGTAGATAGGAAGAGTGGAGGAAAAAAGAAAATGTTTGTTCTCAGGTAAATTGGCTAGGATGCCCCTCGCTCAAGGCTACTTGGTTGGTGGTTAGTAAAGAGTGTGAAATAATGGAGGATTTGTCCTGCCTTTCCACTAGTCTGGGTTGCCATCACTTGTTTAGCACAGCAGTAAGATTTTCAGTTTTGCCTCTAGCATTATGAGCCAAAAGAAGAAATGTTAACTGATTCTAAATTTCAGGACGGACAACCTAATTACAGCAGCATATCCTTAAGATGCTCAGTATATTTTGGTTCTAGAAAGCGTTGTTACATATTGAAATTGCTGAAATCCACTAATGATATACAAGAGAGCCTCTATTTGTTATCTCAATAAAATCAGTAGTTTTCTTGGTCATAGAATTGTGGCTGCATGGCCTGTTTGCCTCATGAATTTCCCCTTGTGCTAAATGCTAATGTTCTCATGGCATATTTGATGAGCTTGTAGTAATTTAATACTTTCTCATGTTAAAGTCTGTGGAGGGATAAATTTAACATAAACATGTACAGAAGCTCCACACCTACAATCATTGTCTTTAGGCGATTTACTTCTTGTTCAAAAATATTGGATAGTTCTCTTTTAGTACTGAATTTTTAGCAATTCAAAGTTGTAGAAGAGTTTTGTGTGAGCTTCAGAAAAGCAAGAGTTTCAGTATAGACTGAAATGTGTTCCCATATTTTAACCTTCAAATGTGAAACCAGTTGGTAGTGTTAATGTATACTTTCACACGATTTTTATGCCATGAATCTTGATTGCCTTTTACAAGCAATGATACATTGGTAAATTCTTCAGGCACAATGTTCTGTGTTTTGAGTTTTGACCCTTCTGGAATGCCTTTGATTGACAGTAACAAACATTTTGAGGGTAGAACAAAATAATGGTAATTTAGAATGTTAGGTGGGATTTTACCCCATACTGGATAAAAAGATGTAATTATTTAGAGAATAGATTTATTTTTAATAATTATATTTGAACTGTAATAGTTTATAACGAATGGGTTATAAATTATTTAAATATGTTTAAGCATGAAAAATTATTTAAATATGTGTAAGCATGAACGTACGTCATAGTTAATAAGAAATGAGTTTTAACTATAAAAAATTTGTTTAAACAAAAATGTTTTTAATAGTTAATAATAAAAAAGTTATAACTATTTACATGAGTAATTATGTTTGAAATGTTTTGTTTATAAAAGTTAATAACAAAAGAGCTATTATAGTTATTTTAAACAACTGAAATGGTTATTTGTAAAAAGGATATGACTCTTTAATAACTATAAAAAGAGAATAATTATAAAAGGTCTTTGTGCATAATTATTTTTATTAGTTTTGCCTGAAGAGAATAATTATAAAAAGGTTTTCATGAATAATTATTTTCATTATTTTTATTTAGAGAGTTTTGAGATTTTGATATATTTTAGAGGAATAATTTCTTTTGAAATTGTTTCTTGTGTCTCAAAGTCAAAATTAACTTTTATTATTTTATTTTTCTAGCACAAAAATTGTTCAAAGTTCACTTTTTATGTTTGGATCATACAAAATGCCGAGGAAATTATATTTTTTAAGAAAATTCGTTTGGATTTTTTCTAAAACAAATTCTCATTTACTTTTATCTTACGATTCAATTACATTCTTTCTAGGCCAAATGCAACTGATAGAAGCATTTAGATAGTAAGTATTTTCTGTTCATTTGTATAGGTTTTTTCAATGAGATGAGGAATTGTAACAATCTAAAGACATTATTATCAAATTTTAATTATAACAATCCAAGTTTGGAACCAACAGTTTTTTATAATTCGGCCGACAAATTTGAATGGGATTTTAATGGGGGCGCCTCTTTCTATCGTGTGCTGGATTGGTTTCAGCAAGCTTGGGTCTACACTGAAATATGGGCCTTTGGGGGCCTGTTGGTTATTTTCAAAGTTCCTGATGAGCACTAAAACCTCACGAAACCCTAATTTTCGATCCTTTATATATGTATAGTATCCTGTTCTCGCTGCAGTTTGTCTTCCTCTGTTTATGCCGCACAAAATCTTCCAATCTGAAGTACTTCTTTTTTTTGCTTTATCTATATATATGTGTGTGTGTGTGTGTGTGTAGAAAAGGTTTATGATTTGGAAGTAATGGTAAAGCAAGTCAGCTTCTTGGTTGGGTGTAGATGGAAACCACCCACTCAATCAAATAATCGGAAAATACTTGCGATAGGTAAACTCAGCCAGTATCACTCACCTGAAACTGATCTGTTTTCCTGATTTTTCAGGCCCTTTTCCTACTGGCATATTCCTTTTCTGTTAATCCCACATCTCTGTTTGCCTTTTTTCTTTTTTAGATTTTTGCAAACGCACTCTGTCCCAAAACCGTTGTAAAAAACGAATTTGTTTTGAGGCAATTTCTTCGTTTGCTATATCATCAATCTAATTGATTTCCAACTTACTCGCCCAATTAGATTCCTTCTTTACTGATCTTATTGGGCACATGGTTGGAATACATTCTCCACTTTTTTTTCTTTTTTTTTTTTTAAATTGCAACTTGAATTCTCAGGACTTATTTCCTTTTCTTTTTGCATGTTTTTGTTAAAATCTTGACTTGGGAAGAAAAGCCCAGTATAGAAATGAGAATGTAGCTGATAAGCTGGATGGAATGCATTTTCATATCGCTTATAGAAAAAGGGGGAATTTTGAGAGCTGTTTTATAACTAATTTATGCTAGAAAACTTAACAAGTGAAGAAAATGTTGAGACCAGATACCCATGTAAAAGAGAAATAACTCTTTCTAAAACTTGAGGAAAAAGTTTGAACAGCATTGGTTGTTACTTCACATTATTCAATTTGTTGACAATCCACCTCCAAAAGGATCAACCTTCAATTGCAATTTTTGTTTTGCAATTTGAAAATCCTAGAACGTTTTTGAGGGAAGAGCTCGAGTTGAAGGGAGTAGTCCCCAGTTGAGGAAATTCACTCGTAGGAATCCAGTAGTAGTCATCTGATTAGGGCATAGAAATTTGAGAGCTCATGAAATTTGGCTTATCATACCTCCCTTCTCCATACGCATATCCTGGTAAATAATTGTATGGTTTATTATTAATCATTGCCTGGAACTCTTGCCATGGATTGTTCAAAGTTCCGAGATTTGGAACTGTTGCCATGGCTGAATGTGGATATGGATGATATAAATCCATCATTCCCTTCTCTTTCTTGGAAAGTGCTCGTTCACGTTTATGGGCAGTTTGGTGCCCTCTCAATGCCTTCGAGTTTGAGAATTTCTTGTTGCAGTATTTGCAACAGAAATCTCGCTTCTGCGCCTTTTCTCTATGCTCTTTTTTATTTGATTCCAAGGCATTCAAAGGTTTATTGTCAAGGGAATCCAGCAAATTGAGTTCTTGCCTTGATTCCCGATCAACCTTATTATTATTCAAAAGCCTTAGTTCTAGTTTAGGCTCCATAGCCTTCACTCTCTTTATTTTGTCTTGAAGATCTTCCCATGAAACTTTATTGGACATTTTTTTTCCCTATGCTGAAAGTCTACTGTTTCAAGGAAGCAACAAGTACTGTTGGTTTGAATTGAATTTTTGTGATATGGGGAGATAGTATTTATTATGACATGTGTCTTTCCTTTATGGAATGGTATCCTGCCAGAAATTATTGCATTTCCGATGAACGGTAATGCAGCAAAGAAAAAGCCAAGTTTGATGAAGATTTATTTTCAGACTCTCCAGAAGAATTTTCTTTTATCAATGCACATTCTTCAAATAAAGTATCTCATTTAGCTAGTATTCTTTATTTCTTGTCTGCTCAAGGTCATGAACAACTAGAATTACTTTACCAACACCCGTTGGTTTGAGTGGTAAAGAATTTAGTTCTTTTTAAACAAGGTTTCGGTTTCAAATTTTGTGAATAAAAAAAATAAGTTTGAGAGAATTTGCTTCTTTTATGAGATTTAACTTGGTTTCACTTCGAATTAGTCGGGATTCAAAGTGATTACCGAACATTAGGAGATCTCAAACCAAAAAAAAAAAAAAAAAAATTAGAATTACTTCATGTAAAGAAGCATTTATCCTCTATTAGATGTGCTTGGTGTAACAAAATTGAATTTATTAATTACCCAGTGGGGAACTTGGTGCATATTAAGCAAAACTTAAATAAAATTTTTATTGAACTTTGTAATAATTTAATTGATTTACGTAATTATTTTTAAGAGTTAGACAATTAACAAGTTTAAAATTCAAATATTTTAGCAAAAAAAAAATTTACTTTATTTTTATATATGTTTTTCTAAAAATAAATATAATAGTTTTAAATTTTAGACTAGGTGATCTATTTGTGGTAGGATATTAATCTAATGAATTACCAATGTTTTGAAAAGTTAATCAAATTTTAAGGGGGAAAAGGACTATGGTCAAATTTAATACCTTTAAGTAGTGTTTAGTATCATTTTCAAAATTATTATTGTGATTTAATTATCATGGTGATAAGATCACTAAGGTGACTTAATCATTAGTGATCTTAGATTATCGTGTTGGATATAATATTATAAATCATTTGTATTTTTAAATCAATGTATTTGGTATCATATGAAAAAGCAAACCATATAATACAAAATATCTAAAACAACTTTACACAAAAAGTAAAATATTTAATACTTATTGAATTAACAATTTATAAAATAATTAAATGTATTTTATAAAAAAATTAAAATATAAATCAATTTTGATAAAAATTATTAAATAAATTCATTATCTTTTTTCTAATCAATATAAATTTATAGCATAAAACATTTTTAGAATAAATGATTTAAAAAACCAAAATTTTAAAATTTTTAGTGACTAGCTTCTTGGGATAATGTTGATTATATTTTTGGTGAATATAAATTACTCAAAAAAAAATATTGAAAATTACTTTCTTATGATTATAAAATTTTCGCATCCTTTAGGTCGAGAATTAAATTATTCTCTAAAACAATAATCTTATCATTTTATTGAATTAAGAGCACTGTTATATAAAATTTATAAATTACTACTAAATAAAATGATGTCCAAACAAAGTGATGTTTTATTGAATGCATATTACCGTGATTTTTAAACAAATTATCCCGTACTAAATACATTCTTAACAACATGCCAAAAACTCTCAAACACTAGCAATTTGTATTTTCTTTCTTTATTGGTATTACCTTTATTTATTTTTCTCTTGCACTCCTTACCTATAATTTTACCTCTAATTTTTTTCATCTTTTATTTTTGGAATATTTGAAAATTATTTTCTCTTTTCGTCAACATCTAAAACTCTTTTTTCTTGTAAAAAAAAGTTGCTTTATTTAATTTTAATTAATTTTCATATTTTTTATTTTTTTGATATTAAAATTTATGAAACTTTATTTTTATAAAAAAATTTAAAATTTAATATTAAATATATTAAAATCAAAGTTTTTTAAGTAAAAAGATTCCCTATCAATTTAAGACGGAACGGGAAGAGTAGCATGTTTTTCATGTCATGATAAGTGTTACCCATTCAAAATTATAAACATTTTGATTAATTATTTACATTGAAAAAGTTAAAATTTACTTGTTAACCTTGACAAGATTGACTGCTATCTACACTACATCTTTGCCAACTCTAGTCATCATAATTTTTCTAACCCCAAATTAAAGCTTAGAACCTAAGCATTGAATTAAAAGTTAATTGGTTGGGAACATGGGTGTGATTGAGAACCGAGTGGCGAGTAACACATTTGTATAGTTCCTTTGACCCTTTGTCTTTTGGGTGAATCCAAGGCCAGATATTGAGGTTTTGTAGCTTCAAGCTAATGGCAACTTTCCAAGCTAGCATCTTCACCTTTTATTAACAGAAACTGACCGTCAATTCCTAAAATAATCAAATCAAAATAATTAAGCTGCCAACCCACGTAACCTACCAACTGCAAATATACCACATTTAATCCGAATACCTATAGAAGCACAGTAATTTTAGGCTTAAATCAATGACTTCTGAACTAAAAACGGGTTTCCTACACACACAAAGGAGAAACAGAAAAACCCAAAAAAAAAGAAAAAAACAGCTACCTCTTGTTTATCTCATGCTGTTAATAACCATTGATTTCATTACACTTTTTTTAGTCTGCATGCTTAAAAACCCTTCTCTTTCTCCAAATTTTACTCAAACAACAATCACCGCTTATTCTCCTTTTTGTTCATATCATTATTTCCCAACCACTTCATCCCTTTGAATTTTCCTTGTTAATAATCTTTCCCATCTCTCATTCCAATTTTCGTTTTTCTCAATCATCTTTCTGCACTACATAGCCTTTTAACATTCTTCCTTCTTTCCATTGCTTCTTGTTTCTTTTTCTTTTGAGCTTGTATAACTTTCAAGAAAAATTTTTGGTTAGGGTTTATTTTTATTTGTTCTTTGATGGAAGGAATGGATCCAGCCGAGCTTCGCCGGGTGTTTCAAATGTTTGATAGGAATGGAGATGGCAAGATCACAAAGAAAGAGCTTAGCGACTCGTTAGAGAACCTCGGTATCTTTATCCCCGATAAAGAATTAACACAAATGATTGAAAAGATCGATGTGAATGGAGATGGTTACGTGGATATTGATGAATTTGGTGGGTTGTATCAAACGATAATGAATGAAAGGGACGAGGAGGAGGACATGAAGGAAGCTTTTAATGTCTTCGATCAAAATGGAGATGGATTCATCACGGTTGAGGAGTTGAGGTCGGTTTTGTCGTCTTTGGGGCTGAAGCAAGGAAGAACTATAGAGGATTGCAAGAGGATGATAAAGAAGGTGGATGTGGATGGAGATGGAATGGTTAATTTCAAAGAGTTCAAGCAGATGATGAAAGGTGGTGGCTTTGCTGCCTTGAGTTCAAGTTAACAAAGGAAAACAAAATCTATATTCTAGGGTAATGGAAAAGAAAACGAAAAGAAAAAGAGAAAAGGAGGAATCCTCTCTCAAGGGATTCTCTTGTATCATCTTATTGTGAGAATTTGCAATGTTTGATTTTATAATTTGGTCACAAGCTTTTATTCAGTTTGTCTATAAGTGGATATAACTTTTTTTTTTTTCTTTCATCATTCAATTCAATTAACTTCGAGTTAGATTTGAAAATTTTTCATTAATTAAAATATTTGGTCAAAGAGCGATGGAATTGAAATCTCTTCTTTTCTAAAATTAAAAATATTTTGCATTGGAGACTTAACGTTTTCATGACTAGCTAATCCACTAATGAGGTTTAGGACTCTCATTCATGAACTCTTAGCTTCATCTATAGCAGATTAACATATGGTGATTTGCCATTAATTTGTATCTTAAGAGAAGAATGAAGGAAAAAGAGGGAACTTTTGAAGGGTTATCTTTGATTATAAACTGTTAATTAAGCAATTCATTCCTGGAAATGCCTTTATAAACAATTGAATTTCTTTCTAATTTACACCTTGAAAATTTCTCAGTAACTATTTTTGTTTGACCCAAAAACAAAAAATAAGGACAACGCGTTTTGTTTGTTCAATTCAACAAGACTAAAATCAAGTAGCAGCGTCCTTTGTAGTTTTTGAAGACTTCGTTTTGTTTTATTACAAGCAACCAAAATTTCTAGCTTTACTTCTAGACAACTTGCCTTCTATAGCATTGGATTAAATCAAAGTTTCAAGTTATGTCTGAATTATTGGTTATTTTTTATTTGACATATATTAAAAATTATTTATTATAAGTATAATTTTTATTAATACATATAATTTCATAAAATTATGTTCCAAGTGCATATCAGCCACAAAGAAATTGATTAGCTAACGTGCAAAAAACCTAATCCATTTAATAATAATAATAATAATAATAATAATAATAATAATAATAAAAAACTATTATGGCTCTCAGTTATAGGTGCCCAAAGGTTTATACCTTTCCAAAATAAATTTCAAATTAGGTTTGATTCGATTAAGATAAAATAAGTTTTAATATTATTTAAAAAGCATTAAATATTATCTAGTTATCTTTTTTAATTTATTAGTTTTAATCAAATATTCTATAATATAAATAAATTAATTTAACATAAATTGATAAATCTCTCAACTCTGAATTACTTGATGAAATTCAAATTCTGTCACATGGGACAGAAGTTAGATCAAATAGAATTAAATATGTTATCATCTACTTTGATTGGGTCAAAACGTTTATTGAGACAAGTCAAAATCTTCAGACCACATAAAAAAAAAAAAAAAAGGACAGAATCTTTGGAAAGCACCGTTCTTGTTCCACGCTTGTAATTCCCAATCCCTTGACAAGTCTCGATTCCTAATAATGCGGAATTATTATTCAGTATTATAATAATTAGGGAAATCCAAGAAAAGATTAATAAGGTTATTACATGTTTGTTAATTTAATTTTCTTTTTAAAATATTCTTAATTAAGTTTCATAAGTTTCACTATTGATAATATTTATAACTTACAAGGATTAATGGTTTAATTACAGCTGATAGAATCCTAGCTACAAGCTATTTTGCTAATGTATAATTAAGATAGTCTCTTTTAATAAACGATGTTGATAGCTCTGTTAATAGTTTACTAAAGAATAAAATTCAATTATTATATAAAAATAATCTAATTAATTATAACAAATTGTACTAATAATATTCTGACAACAAGATACCTAAAATTTGTTAATAAAGTTTTGGTTTAACGGTAAAAAAAAAAAATTTAAAATTTTGAGATCTTACGTTTAAGTAGTTTTATTATATGTAAATTTGATTATTTAGTTACGTTATAATTAATTATTTAATTATTTTAATTTAATTATAATATAATAATTCATTATTTAATTGAATGTGATATTGACTAAGAATATAACTTTAAAAAAAACAAAAGATACCTACAACTTGATGTACTGTACCACTTTAATGCACCTACCAAAGAATATAAGAGAGAAAACTAACATAATAATACTTAAAAGATTTTACTCGTATTTCATCAACTAATTAAAAATGTATATATTTATAGTAGCATGCAGTTTCGCTTTTGATTCATAAATAAATTTTATTATACTTTTATTTCTTTCAAAAGTATATTCTTATTTTGACTTTTTTGACAACATTTCTCTTTTTGACCATGTCTTTTAATTATTTCATAAGTTATATCCTTACTTTTTTTTTAAAAGAAATTTAAACCTTTTGATATTTGAAGTTTTAATTTTTTTTTTGAAATTACAAATAAAATAATTATAATTAAGTATTATATATAAAATATAACTAAATAATCAATTAATAAATTAAAATAAAATTAGACAAATTCAATAAACAATTAAGTCATACTAATACATAATGAAACTTGAACTTATGATCTCATGATTTTAAAACTTTTTTTTGCAACTAAGCAAAGATTTCATTAGCATTAAAAGTTTTAACTTTTTTCAAAAGAATAAAAAATCAAGAATTTAATTTTAAAAAAATAATATTGAGAATTTAAAATAAAAAAGGTTAAATGTGAAATTATTTTGTTAGTATTAATTTTTTTATTGCTAAAACGAAAAATAAGCCTATACTTTATAAGAAAAAGGCAGTAATATTCCTCTAGACAATATTTCAATTGGTCATATGACTAGGTAAAATTGAAACATTATATGCAAGGAAAGTCAAGGTCATTTCACTAAGTTTGGAATCTTCCTTTTATTGATTTACTTTTCTTCTAAACTTTTTTTTTCCATATATGCAGTATACTTTTCTAATTTGTAATCCTATATATAATAGTGATATTTGATTTCTTTCCAAAACCGTGTAGGAGAGCAGAGTAGCCTAAAAAATGAATAACACAATCAAACCCCATTTCCATTGCTTGTTCTGTCTCTTCATTTTGTTGCTAGACAAGTTGGTGGTGACGCAAAACACAACCGTCCCAGTTAATGTGGGTGTGGTACTTGACTTTGACTCGTTGGTTGGGAAAATTGGGTGGAGTTGCATCAACATGGCGGTCTCAGACTTTTATGCCACTCATGGTGGCTATAAAACCAGGCTAGTCTTGAACGCCAGGGACTCCAACGAAGACGTTGTTGGCGCCGCAGCTGCCGGTCCGTTCTCTCTTCTTCTTATTCTTCTTCTGCTGATCTTCACTCCATGCATTTGCAAGTTATCCACTCACTTTCCTAATTGAACTTTGCATCATTGCTATAGGCTGCTAGCTTTAAATGCCCATATCGTTTACAACATGAAGTTATGTTCGTTTCTATAGCACTTTTATTTCAGTTTTAGGCTTTTGGTCATATAGAAGGAGGGGTGAATTGCAAAGTACCCCAAAGATTAGAAAATCTATGCTACTTTGATACCGTCATAAGATTGAAAATACCTGTCCCATGCTCAGCTACAACTATATTGGGAAACAATATTTGACTTGAAAGCTATTAAAAAAACTTGTTCTAGTATATATATGTATATCGCAAGACCAAGTCAGCAGACCTCTATATTTCCATGTTAATTTGTTCACCGTGTAGCACATTAGTAGTCAAGAATATATTACGTATAGACTGGATTAAAAAATGTTGAAAATTTAAGAGAGAATTCCACTTGCTTGATGAACAGCTCTGGACTTGATAAAAAATGTAGAAGTGCAAGCAATCATAGGGCCAACAACTTCAATGCAGGCCAACTTCGTTATTAAGCTTGGAAACAAATCTCGAGTGCCCATAATAACATTTTCTGCAAGAAGTCCGTCTCTTACTTCCCTTGGGAGTTCATACTTTTTCCGATCCGCACAAAGTAGCTCATCTCAAGTGAAAGCCATAAGTGCCATTGTTAAGGCTTTCGGATGGAGAGAAACTGTGGCCATATATGAAGACAATCAGTTTGGAGAAAGCATTATACCTTGCTTAACGGAGTCCTTGCAGGCGATCAACGTTAGGGTCCCATATCTGAGCGTCATTTCCCCATCAGCTACTGATGACCAAATTGATCGGGAGCTTTACAAGTTGATGGCAATGCAAACAAGAGTGTTCATCGTGCACATGAGAATGTCTCTTGGTTCTCGGCTTTTAGCCAAAGCAAAAGAGATTGGAATGATGAATGAAGGGTATGCTTGGATCGTGACTGATGGGATGACTAATCTTTGGAGATCATCGGATTCCTCAACCATAGATTCCATGCATGGTGTTCTAGGTGTGAGGACTTATGTTCCCAAATTAAAAAAGCTTGAAGCTTTCAAAGTCCGCTGGCAAAGGAAATTCCAACAAGACAATCCAGACGTTCTTAATGCTGAACTGAGCATTTTGGGACTCTGGGCTTATGATGCAACATTTGCATTAGCCATGGCAATTGAGAAAGCTGGCTTTTCGGATTTCCACTTCAACAAAACAAATGTTTCCAGCAGTGCAGTAGACCTTGAAAATGTTGGGGTCTCACAAAACGGCCCACAACTCATCCAAGCATTATCAAGCATCAAATTCAGCGGTCTTACGGGTTACTATCATTTTGTAAATAGGCAGCTACATTCTTCAGTATTTCAGATAGTTAACGTAAATGGAAATGGTGAAAGAAGGATAGGGTTTTGGACACCAGAAAATGGGCTTGTTAGAAGATTAAAACCGGTAAACAGAAAGACAAGCATAAATTCCTCTTCTAAACCGAATCTTGGCCCCATTATATGGCCAGGGGATACAACCATCGTTCCCCGAGGTTGGGATAATCCAAGAAATGGGAGTAAATTGAGAATCGGGGTTCCAGTAAATAATGGATTTAGTGAATTTGTAAAGGTAACATGGGACCCTATTTCTCAGAAAGCAACATTAATCGAAGGGTACTGCATAGACGTTTTCGCTGCTGTAATGGCTAAAATGCCTTATGCTGTTCCGTACGAGTTCATTCCATTTGCAACGCCAGAGGGCAAGAGTGCTGGTTCTTACAATGACTTGATTGATCAAGTACACTACGGGGTAAAACTCTTCTACTTCTCCTTTATACTGATCCTTTTATCTTTTCTGTTGATTTGTTTCACAGACGTATACGATTTAAATGTATAGATTTTGATCTGATTTCTCCCTTTGGCAAATAACAGAATTATGATGCGGTGGTAGGAGATACGACTATTGTAGCAAATAGATCATTGTATGTTGACTTCACAATGCCATACACAGAATCTGGTGTGTCAATGATCGTGCCAATCAGAGATAACAGGGAGAAGAATCCATGGGTTTTCTTGAAGCCCTTGACATGGGACCTCTGGGTAGCGAGCGGTTGCTTCTTTTTATTCATAGGATTTGTTGTCTGGGTTCTTGAGCATAGAATAAATCAAGATTTCCGTGGATCCCCTGCACATCAAGTTGGCACAATGATCTGGTTCTCCTTGTCAACCATTGTGTTTTCACATCGTAATAATCAACCCTTTTCACCTTTTCAATTTACATATGGCGGCCGTGCTTAAGAGATTTTTTCTAATCATGTTTTTGGTTCTTTGAATTGAATTATTTTACAGGGGAGAGAGTGGTGAGCAATTTGGCTAGATTTGTGATAATTATATGGTGTTTCGTGGTTCTCATTCTCATCCAAAGTTACACGGCCAGTTTGACATCACTTTTAACTATTAAACAACTCCAGCCTACTGTAACTGATATAAACGAGCTCCTTAAGAGAAGGGAAAGTGTTGGTTATCGTGATGGCTCTTTCGTTGAGGGAATTTTGATGGATTTGAAGTTCCATAAATTTCAGCTTAAGAAATATAAATCTCCAGATGAACTTGATGAACTTTTTACCAAGGGAAGTGCCAATGGAGGTATTTCTGCTGCTTTGGATGAAGTTCCTCTTATCGAGCTGTTTCTTGCAAAATATTGTGGTAAATATACAATGGTGGAACCGACATTTAAGACTGCTGGCTTTGGTTTTGTGAGTCCTTACTCAATTTCTCATTTTCTCTCTTGCATTGGCTTCCTCCCTCTATATGGTTTAGCGTTCGTGCTGATTTCTAATTTGATTTTGCAGGTCTTCCCTAAAGGTTCCCCTCTTGTAGTAGATGTTTCAAGGGGAATTTTAAATGTTACTCAGAGTGACGAAATAAATCAAATTGAAGACAAGTGGTTCAAGAAGGAAACTGTTTGTCTTGATCGCAACGTCTCAATATCTTCAAATAGTCTTGGTCTTGAGAGCTTTAGTGGACTGTTCCTCATTGCTGGAACCGCCTCCCTATTGGCTCTCGTCATATTTGTGGCAATGTTCTTGTATGAGCAAAGGCATGTATTCTTGCAGTTCGATCCCGAAACTCCAATATGGAGAAGAATCCATACCATGTCAAGATTCTTCGACCAGAAAGATCTAAGCTCTCGTACTTCTACAAACGATCAAAACGGGGAAGGAAGTTACGCTCCCAGTGTTCAAAGTACAGGTTTTCTTGGAGGCTCACCAAACACTAACTGCCCACCAAGTCCATCAAGCTGCTCAAACCAGACAAATTCCTTAGAATTTGTTTTCCTCGTACAGCAAGAAAGTCCTCCTGTAAATGTTGATCTGACTCCAAGTGGTTCAGCAACTCCAGAGATATTCCCATCTCCGGAAAGATCTATTGAGCTTGCCAACTGAAATTAATGTCACGTGAGCACAATTCATGTAAATTTGCCCACTCAATCAAGAGCAAAATAACAGATTACTATTAAGTGATATAGAGGTAGGATCATATAGAATTAGAGAAGAGCTGAGGAGTTATCTCCTAGGTTACTGTTTTGTTGTCAATATAGCACCTACATTTTCCAGCTTATAGGTTAAGAAACCAAAGGCAACAATACAGAACAGACTCTGCGTATTTTCACCATGTTGTCATTAGAGCGAAGGGTGAATGTGCCATCAACTTTGTTTCAGTTCACTTGCTGCCCCAACATTATATCAATATATACATCATCTATCTCTTCTGTCCATTTGAGATTAACTTTCTTAACCTCACTAGTGCTTTCACTATGTTTAAACTTTTTAATCATATTCAAAACTGAATATTAACACAATTTATATTATATAAAACAATGGGAACTAAATTGAATAGAAATAATATGACATGACAAATTAAATGACAAAAAACATAACATATTCATCTAATATTGTAGACACCTAATTTTATCCAAAATAATTCAATTTTGATCAATTTATATATTTGATTTTAACATTTTGATTTAGGTAAACTTAAGTATTTTAATTGGATTTATGTAATTAGACTTGTTTGAGTTTTGTTTTAAATTAATCGATCTTTAATCGTTTTGCATGGATTAAGATCTAACCATATTCAATTTGGATTAATTCAAAATTCAGTCATTTGGACTTAGGCCTAAAGTCATTTTCGATTTTTTTTTTTTGGATAAATTGTAATTTTATTAGTCAAGAAGCAACAAATTACTACTACCGTAAAATAGTTTGTATAGTTTGGTATCGCTTCACTTATTTACATTATAAACATCTCTCTGCATATGTCCCATCTCTCACACAGTTCTTTATTTATATGATCCAAATCAACATGCTTTAATTCTGCTACTCTTAGTCTGACTTCCTCCTTAATTTGTATCCAGATTTGCTCACTATTGCTTTCCTCCGACTCGAATTGCCTTTTGTTCTGTTCATTTAAAATCAAATAGATATAAGCTCCCCAAGCCAGTCTCAATATAACAGAGTAGAGCCTCCCTCGGAGTTTGGCAATTCCCACTGAAATTCATTCTCCCAATCCTCAACTTCCTTTCGCAACTGACATTGCTACAAGATCTGCCTCCACACTGCCTTAGAATAGCTACATGTAAGGAAAATGTGATTCCTCACTCATCATCCTGTTTACATAATACACCGCACCTATCCGTTGTAATCCTCCATGCATTCAACTTGTCTTGAGTAGGGAGCCTATTCAGAATGGCCATTCATGCGATAACTGCATGCTTAGGTATATGTGGCTTACAGCAAACAGGCCTATCTCAAACTACTTTCTCCTGTATGGATCTTAATTCCTCCCATACAGCTCCACCAGGATAGCTTGAGCAACCTTTTGCTGACATTAAAATCTTGGAAGCAATGTTCTTCATTTGTAGCACTTTCCTCGTACTCCAACTATTGCTTTGAGGGATTGGCACATCCCTTATGCTTCTCCCTTTTAACACATAGTTCTGTGTCCATGCTATCCAAATTGATCCTGCTTGTGCAAGTAGAGACCATAAATGCTTGATTATACAAACTTGGTTCCATGTTGAGAAATCCTTCAACCCCAACCCTCATTTTGACTTGGTACTACAAATGGTTTGCAATTTGATTTTAGCCCTTTGTACTGTGCCTGGTTGTTCTTTTCAGAAGTAGCTTGTAGAGCTAAATAATTTTCTTTATGACCTTCTGAGGTAGGATAAAATGCCTACACCACTAGTTATGAATGCTGTAGGACAAATTGTATCAATCGCAGTCTACTAGCATAAGATAGGTGCTTAGCTATCCAGCTATTGATTCTATCTGTAATCCTTTCTACTAGCGAAGTGCAATTCTTATGTGTTAACACTGAGGTATCTAACGGGAAGTGTGCCGAGCTTAAACCATATTTCCTGAAGAATTGCATGTAGCTCACTCCAATTCCTTTTTTTAATTTTAAAGTTAATTAAGATAAAAATAAAATAAAACAACAACAACAACAACAACAAAAGTAAAAAACAGAGGCCGGGAGGTCTACCATGAAGCAGCCTCTCTCACTTTTTCTTCCCCATTTGATACCACCATTTTCAGCTTTTCTGTTTTCCCTCCTGTTTGTCTTTCTACGTGAATCTGTGAAAGACTCTACACCCCAAAACTTAGCGTTGCACCATCCCAAAAGTTAGCATGCTCTCTCAAAATCATCACTTTATCTTCTCCTCAAATGCAGCATTGCACAGCCCAATAACGCAGCACCATTGCTGCAACAAGGTTCCAAAAATACAATTTCCTAAGCTCTAATCTACCAGAACGGGTGCTCTATAAAGGATCCAAAAATTTTACAAACCGGGGGGAAGGAGGAGGTTGGCGGCAGAGCCAAAAAAAAAATCACAACAAAAAACACACAAAAAAGGCTGGTCGGCACACTAAAAAAATGAGGATTTTTTACTTGAAAGAAGCCTCGGTCTTTTAGAAGCACGTTTAAAAAACAAAAAAGCTTGGAGAAGAGGTAGTTTCGGTCCTTGTTTCTTTTGATTTTTTTTTTTTTATACATACAACTCCATAAAACCTTGTTTCCCTCTTTGCTCATACTGTTTCATGTAAAAGATGGAAGCTTTGCTTCAAATATCTAAGAGTTACCAATGAATGAAAGGAAAGAGAAGGGTTTTGGAGTCCACGAGCCTGTTTCGGTTTTGCTTTCCTTTTAGCTGTTCATGGGAGCTTAAAGCTCCGTACTTGATACGTAGTTTCTGAGTTTGAATGATGAAAAGGAAGTTTTTTTTAGTAAATTAAGAACGTGGAAGCTTTTCAAAATATGTAGTAGAGTTGTTAAAAGTTTTTTTTGAAGCTATCAAATGTGGTTTTCTAGTGCTTGTTGCTGTCCATGGGACCTTAAAGCTCCATCCTTGATGTGCGTTTGCTGGTTTAATGATAAAAAGGAGGCCTTTTTGTCTAGGAAAGTAGAGCTTTTTCAAAAACATGAAGAAGGGGAAGGGTTTCAAAGGAGTTCAAGTTGTCAAAAAAAAAAAAAAATCCTTTCAAAGAGAGTTTCGATTCTATTCTATCCCCTGACTCCCTGTTTTTGGAACGTTAAAGTTTGTATTTAAGAGTTTTCAAGTTCAGGTTTTAACGTAAAAACTGTTAACTTTTATTATCAAACCTAAAAGCCTTTAAAATACGGTGAAAAGAATGTGTTTTAAAGAGGCTGAAAAGAGGCCAACGCTAAAACCGGTTTGGAATAATTTTTCGGTTCATATTATTTGTGGACAAATCTTAATAAAAAAGATTTTATTAAGTATGTGAAATTTTTTTTAAATGATTTAATAAAAATTTTAAACCGATAGATTAATAAAGATTAATATGAAAATTAATAATATATAAAAAAATTATTAAAAATATTATTTATAATTCAAATTTGATATATACTTATTTAATAATAACAATTTTATCAATATTTTTATAAAAATTATTTATTTAAAAATTTATATCAAAATTTAGTATTTTTTTTTTAATTTTACATACTTAATCTATGTAATAAAATTTTTTTAATTTATCAATTTTAATTTTCATTTAATCATTTTTAATAAATAATTCCATCAACTTCACTTTAAAAATTTTATCTTAATCTTTCCCCTTATTTGTTGTCAGTATGTTTTAAAATCTTGCTATTTTTTGTCTGAAGATGCTGGTCTTGAATTTGAAAAAATAAAGGTTTTTTCTTTTTAAATATAAAGCTTTTTAAACATAGGAATGGAGGGGTAGTTATGGAGATTCCAATTTCCAAGCAAAAGCTAGTTAAGAAAGAGATTTTCGGTTTAGATTTGGAGGGACTGTATTGAAACAAATGAAATCCGCCTCTTTGACTTTTCATTCAATAATAGTTTTGGATTATTATTACGATTGTCACGTGTCTTATGTTACTTTGTTTAGATATTTATTTCGCATGTTATTTATTAATTGTTTACTCGTTGCATAATTTATTTATATAAAAATTCATAATTTTAAAATAATTAAGGATTTTAAAGATAATATCCTAAATAAAAGTAATTTTTGAAAATTCTGTTTAGATATAGAAAAAATTTTAAATATTTAATTTATCAAGAAATGTTATTTTCTTAAAACTTAATTATGATAATTTTTAAGTAAATGATTGATTTTCTTAAATTTTGTCAATATATTAGAGAATTAAAAAAATTAACACAAAAAATTTTCATTTTATCACTAATGGTTTTTTAATAAAAAATAATGATAAAAAACAAAAAGAGATAAAATTAAAATGTTATAAGATGAATTAAATTGGTCATTTGTATATTTTGATTTGTATTTGTATCATTTTATTTGTTTCATGTTACATCATATGTATTTTTTATTGTCAAAAAAATATAAAGTAATAAATGATGATTTTGAAAATTTGTTCTTTTAGAATAAGTAAAATACTTATTAAGATCCTACTTAAATATTGAAGGGATCTTCAACCATTATTTTTTATGAAAAATATTATCTTTCATTTTAAGAATTATTATGAAAATACCTATGCAAAGAAATATTTTCTAAATTTTGCTTAGATATTAAAAAATTTTAAAAATGATTCGAAATAAAATATTTTCATTTTATTTTAAATAAAATAATTCTAAAAATGATGGCAAAAAATTAATACTAAAAGAAAACATGTGATTAATTAGTGATGTTGTTAAAACAAGCGTTGTGAGATGTTAATTCTTCTTCACACATAATTATACTTTTGAATCTAATTTTATTTTTTGTAGACTAAAAATTATTTTTTAATAAATTTAAAGATTTTATTAAAAAAATTTTATAAAAAATTATTAAAATTGTGTACATGATTATCAAAATTGTATAATAAATTACCAAACTAATATCGAGTGTTACCAAAATTGTATAGAAATCTGTCGAAATTAAAATTATATAAAAAATTATCAAATTTTACTTATAGCAAAAAAAATACAAATTAAATTGTTAGTTTTTATAATTATTTTAAAAAATATATAAAAAGTTATCAAAATTTACTTGTATTATACCAAAATTAAAAATAAATTATTAGCATTTATAATTATTATTGTCATAGCATTAAAAAAATTATTTATTGACATTAATTTTTAGAGATAAAAATTATATGTGCATCACACAAATGCTTAAAACTATTTGCATCACATGCACCTTTTAATTATAAAAAATATATAAAGTACTAGATGATGATTTTGAAAATTTGTTTTGTTTAGGAATAAAAAAAATAATATCTTAAGTAAAATAATTCTTGAGACTCTATTTAGATATTGAACAATTATTTTTTATGAAGAATATTATTTTTTATTTTAAAGATTATTATGAAAATACCTAAGCATAGAACTATTTTCTAAATTTCACCTAAATATTGAAAATTTTAGAAAATATCTAGGCAAAATTTAGAAAATGATTTGAAATAAAAAATTTTATTTTATTCCTAAATAAAGTAATTATATAAAAAAGGTAAAAAATCAATACTAAAAAATAACATGCAATTAATTAGTATTATTGTTAAAACAAGTATTGTGAGATAGTAATTCTTTCTCATGTGTAATTGTATTCTTAAACCTATATTTTTTTTTGGTAAATCAAAATTTATTTTTAATAAATTTTAATGAATTTTAAGATTTTATTAAAAAATTTATAAAAATTTATCAAAATTATATCATAAGTTATCAAACTAATATCAAATGTTACCAAAATTGAATCGAAAGTTACTAAAATTTTATCAAATGATATCAAAATCAAAATTATATCAAAAGTTATCAAATTTTACTTAGAGTTTAAAAAAAAAATTAAATTGTTAGTATTTATCATTATTTTCAAAAGTATATAAAAAGTTATTAAAATTTACCTATATTATACCAAAATTAAAATTAAATTGTTAGTCTTTATAACTATTATTATCATAGTATCAAAAAATTGTTAGTATTAAAATTGAGATGAATTTTTAGAGATAAAACTTGTAAGTGCATCACACGTGCTTAAAACTAGTTACATCACGTGAACCTTTTTATTGTAAAAAAAAAAGTACTTAAATGATGATTTTGAAAATTTGTTATTTCTTTTAGAAATAAAATAAAATAATATTTTAAGTAAATTAATTATTGAGAACCTACTGAAGGGATTTTCAACAATTATTTTTTATGAAGAATATTATCTTTGATTTTAAGAATTATTATGAAAATACCTAAGGAGAGAAATAATTTTTAATTTTTGCCTTAGATATTAAAATATTTAAAAAATATCTAGGTAAATTTTAAAAAATGGTTCTTAATAAAAATTTTTCATTTTATTTCAAAACAAAGTAATTCTAAAAGAGATGGCAAAAAATCAATATTAAAAGATAATATATGACTAATTGATACTATTATTAAAATAAGCATTATGAGATGATAATCATTCATCATGTATAATCGTACTTTTGAACCCTTTTTTTTTCACAAAATAAAAACTATTTTTAATAAACTTTAAGATTTTATTGAAAAAAATTATAAAAATTATTAAAATTGTATCAATGGTTACCAAAATTATATTATAGGTTACCAAACTAATATCAAATGTTACCAAAATTGTATTGAAAATTACTAAAATTTTATCAAAAGTTATTGAAATTAAAATTATATCAAAAGTTATCAAAATTTACTTATAGTATAAAAATACAAATTAAATTATTAGTATTTATCGTTATTTTCAAAAGTATATAAAAAATTATCAAATTTTACCTATATTATACCAAAACTAAAATTAAATTGTTAGTATTTATAACTATTATTATCATAGCTTCAAAAAAATTATTTGTGGAGATGAATTTTTAGAGATAAAAATTATACATGTGCCACACATGTATCTAAATTAGTTGCATCACATATACCTTCTTATTGTAAAAAAAAAAGTACTAAATGATGATTTTGAAAATTTGTTATTTTTTATAAAAATAAAATAAAAAATGTTTTAAGTAAAATAATTATTAAGATCCTATTTAGATATTGAAAGGATTTCCAATAACTATTTTTTATGAAAAATATTATCTTTGATTTTAAGGATTATTATGAAAATACTTAAATAGAGAAATATTTTCTAAATTTTGCTTAGATATTGAAAATTTAGAAAATATCTAGACAAAATTTAAAAGTTGGTTAAAAAAAAAGTTCATTTTATTCTTAAATAAAGTAATTCTAAAACAGGTGGCAAAAATTCAATACTAAATGAAAATATGTGATTAATTAGTATTATTGTTAAAATATATGTTATGAGATGTTAATATTTTTTCACGTATAATTATATTTTCAAACCCAATTTTATTTTTTTGTAGACTAAGGATTATTTTTTAAATAAATTTTAAGTAATTTAAAGATTTATTAAAAATTTTTTATAAAAATTATATCAATAATTACGAAAATTATATCATAAATTATCAAACTAATATTGAATGTTATAAAAGTTACATGAAATGTTACTAAAATTTTATAAAAAATTATTGAAATCAAAATTATATCAAAAGTTATAAAATTTTATTATAGTATAAAAATACAAATTAAATTGTTAATATTTATCATTATTTTCAAATGTATATAGAAAGTTATCAAATTTTACCTATGTTATACCAAAATTAAAATTAAATTATTAATATTTATAACTATTATTATCATAATATTAAAAAATTATTTATTAAAATAGAATAAAAAAAATTATACGTACGTCACACTCGCCTAAAACTAATTTACAAATGGCAAAAGATAATATAAATATATATATGTGTATGTATGTATGTACCGTAAAAAATCCTAATAAGTGATATTCAGTATCTCAAGCCCAAAAAAGAGCACTTAAAAAACGAGTTATTACAAGTGGGCCGAACCGTGCGTGCAGGACCGCATTAAAACCGTTTTATAAAGTCTAACCCAGAGTCTGAGCAGAGGCCGAGAGAGTGGGAAGAGTAAAAAATTTAGAAATGGCGGGGAGGGTTTTAGCTTCAGCTTCAGTTGGTCTGCGTATTATTCCGAGTGTCAAGATTCTTTGTTCTAATTCATTCATTTCCGTTCCCAATAAGCCCCTTCACATACCCAGGTATCTCTCTTTATTTGTTCTTTTATAAAGTTTAAGTCTTGGAATGGGATTGAATTAGTTTGTTTTTCTTTTCTTTGGCTATGACTTTTTAGAATTTCTCGGCTATTTGTACCATGTTCCTATTCAGCAAATGGGTTGCTTTTTTTTGTGCAATTGCAGCCGATTTTAATACAAATGCGTTAATTCATTGACGAAAATCCTCTTGTTTTATCATATAAAAAAGCTTGGCTTTTGCCAATCTGGGCTGCTTTGAACTGACAATAAATAATCTTTTGGACTGATATTAAATGGGTTGCTTTCATCTTGATTGGAGTTCATAAAACTGAATGCAATATTGGATGATCCCTAAATCTTCTACTTGCTTTTGAAATAACTTCTTTTAGCTGTATTAGGAATTTGAGGTCCCTCTTATTTTCTTGTAAAACTTTGACGAATTTAATTGGGGGCTTACTGTTTGTTTTTTTATCCAACTAAGAACCCTTTGACTTTGGTTTAATAGTAAAACTTTATTAACTTTTGCTCCTCTGTTTTCACGGAATCGAGAAAAGGTTCCTGATTAGCAACTATTTTCATGCATCTCCATTTTCCCAATGATCTTTTTGACATTAATGTATGAATCGTGTTGCATCTGCGTTATATGCTTTCATTTTTTTCCCCTAGTTTTCAAGTCCAATGTGTTTTTACTTGGGAAGAACAAACTGATAAAACTTTTTAAATGACTGAGTCGATTTGAAACCTTTTAAGCTTTCGTGCAATTGTAGACTGTGGTTAATATATTATATATATTTTAAAAGCTGAAATTTTCACTAGAAAAAAACAACAATCCTAAAAGAATTTGCATGAGGATTTACTCATGACGCAGTAGTTTGGGTGATGATATATGCAAGGCTTCTGGTCGGCAGCAGGCTTTTGCCCCAATCTATGACATAAAAAGGTTTCTGCTCCAGGGGCATGTATGGATTCATTCAGCTCCATTTCTGAATGCTTCTGAAAAAGTTGTTGGGACAGTCAACCATTCTGATAAAGATGCTAGTTTTGAGGATGCTTGTACTGATAATGGTAAGGTGAAGAGGAAGAAATTGAAGGGTAAAAGAGCTGTTGTAAGGTGGTTAAAATTCTTTAGGTGGAAGAAGAAGAAAGAGTATGAAAGAATGACAGCTGAAGAAAAGATTCTTTACAAACTTAGAAAGGTATTCCCAGCTTTTCTACAAAATGCTTACATATTGATAAGGGGAATTCAAACCATTGCTCTCTCTCTCTGGTGAGTGAGTGAGTGAGTGAATGATTTTGAAGTTGGGATGTTTTTCTAGATAGTCATATATAAGCTCGTAGCTATATATTCTTCTGTGTCTAACTCTTTTTTCATGTGCATTTCCTCCATTTGTTCTTCAGGCTCAAAAGAAAGAAGAAAGACTTGTTACAGCTTTAAATAAGATTGAGCCTGCAGAATCATCTGAAACAACCCATGATCCAGAAATATTGACTCCGGAAGAGCACTTTTTCTTTTTAAAGATGGGCCTCAAGTGCAAAAATTATGTGCCAGTTGGAAGACGAGGAATTTATCAAGGTGTAATTTTGAACATGCACCTTCACTGGAAGAAACATCAGACTTTGAAGGTAGTGGTTAAGACATTCTCACCAGAGGAAGTCAAGGAGATCGCTGCTGAGCTTGCAAGATTGACAGGTGGGATTGTGCTTGACATTCATGAAGATAATACAATAATTATGTACAGAGGGAAGAATTATTCTCAACCACCTACAGAGATCATGTCACCCAGGGTCACTCTTTCTAGAAAGAAGGTCTTTCTTCTCCCTTATCTTTTATTGGTTTTGTTTTTCACCCTAATATTGAAAACTAAAGAATTGAATTGAGTTTCAGTTTAATGAGCCCTGACCATGTGGCATACAAACATTTCCTTAATATGACAAACTCTTTTAATTTCTTCCATAGAGAAAACATATTAGGAACGGTTCTTAGTCATTTGTTTTCATTTTTTTCTTTTTGGCCAAGGTTCTTGGTTGGTTCACAGAATCAGACATTGAAGTCAATTAGGCACAGAAGCTGATGCAGGACAGCTTAGGGGTTAGGGTTTATGATAGCGATAATTTGAAATTCTTAAGAAAATAGGGAAAGATGAATAAAAAAAGAAAAACATGAAAGAAAAGATAACCTAAGCTTCAGACGTAGGGTTGATTGCATGAAGAAAGAAAACCTAGGCATCACACCTAGGGTTGATTGCATCACACAATCTGAATAGCAATAAAGCTAAAATTCTCATAATCTGTCTTTCAAAAGAAAGAGTATGTTGTTATTTATATGGGCTACCAGCTACGACCAACTCTAATCCTAAAAGAACTAGAACTCCTATTCTAGGTAGGACTTCAAAGAAAATACTCTAGACTCTTAATAGAAGACTAATAAACTTGATTCTAAAAACCTAATAGGATAAAGAAAACTACACTAAGATACTAAACCCTAATATAAATGTAAAATATCAAATATAACTCTAGATCTATAAGATATTACACTTTGCTCCATAAATACAACAAGATTAACAAAATAAAATCTTAAGTAAGCTAATTAAAAAATTAGCTTATTTTTTTCTGCATTAGAAGCATTAAATGAAAATGAAACAGTTGCATTTAAATTTCTCAAGCAAGGGAACTTCTTAGGAATTGCATTAACTTTATGCTGAGGGTAAAATGTGACAGGTAAAAAATGCTAGGAAAATTATCTACAATATAATTTTATTATTTTTTATTGTCTAGTATATTTACCAGTATCTTCCATTAGCATATATTGTTATTGACTCATGGTTGAGCACCCCAGGTCAACTTTAAACTGATTTCCAGTTCTCAGAAAAGTTTTAAGTTGTTTCTTGTTTAAGATTATTTTTTTATCTTCACTATACAACTCTCATCCAAGCTTTTAGAATGTTCTCTTTATAGAGGTTAAACATGTTACTATTTAAGCTCCCATTTGGTAGATTGACAGACACAGAGCTTGCACTGTCTTTCATATTCATACTTAATTATCTAAATGAGCCTTCAGTTTCATTTTCTTTTCATTCCTTTTGTTCAGGCTCTTGATAAATCCAAATATAGGGATGGCATTCGAGCTGTTAGGAAGTATATCCCAAAGCTTGAACAGGACCTTGAGTTGCTACGTGCTCAAGCTGAAAATAGACCTGATCCTATGCAACATGTGCAAAACATTGATAATTACAATGAGGAATCTAGGAAGATTTCAAGCATGCAGTTTGAGGGTTCAAATAAATTGAAAGAAATTTTGGATGTGAGCAAGGAACTTTCTGACAATGAATCCACTATGGATTCGCTTATGGCGTCTGATTCTGAAGACTTGTCAGATATTTTTGAGACTGAGTCAGACACTGAGACAGAGGAGAAGAAAGATCGACCACTTTATTTGGATGAATTTGACAAATTTCCAGTAGAAAGTGATGGGGAACCTGAAGATTTTAAGGAGCACCTGTGTCAAATATCCATGGGCTCAAAAGTTCCTAAAGCATTGGACAGTAATGTTAACTCACCTAACTTTGATGAGGTAGATCATATATTTTTACGTGCTGCTTCACTCTTGAAGAAAAAGAGGAGATAGGAGGTTTCATAATTAATGTAATCTTTAAAATATCTGTTGTAGATGTTTATTTACACTATTTCCTCTGTTGAGGCTTGGTTGCATAGAGCCCTTAATGCATGGTGAAGGTGCAGTACTTGGTGGGAATAATCATAGAGACGCTTGTGTTTTTGGTCACTTGGCTGCCGAGAATCCAAAGAAAACGTGTATCTGCAGAAAATTTTCTAGTAGGCAGAAAGTGTATTGACATGCTCAACTTCTAGTTGCTACTTGCTAGTGTCTACCCTTGTTTCCAAATTTCCATCTATATTATCCATTATTCAGCGAAAGCTCCTGGACATTTTCCACCATTAGTGTACAAAGCTTAACATCTGGTATAGGAATGCAGCAATATAATGTATGCAACACGAGAGCCTGAACTTCCAAGAACCCAAATCCTCATCCATTTCAGAGAGGCCTGATAATTTCAATCTGCATTTTTATGAGCTTAAGGCTAACAGACATACGCTTGCAAAATTGTGTTTTTCTTGCACGACTGCAATCGTAAGCAAGCTTTTATAGGCATTTCAGCCTGCCTTTTATAACTCTTGCCAACAATTACATATTTCCAGTCTCCAATATTTGTTGTGGATAATAGATTGCGGTTGTGACGACAGATGATTAGCTACATGGATTATCGGTTAATCAGACTCTGATAGCGTCAATGTTCTCTCTTTTGCACATTTAGCGCTTTCAATTCCCACAGGCGTTGTAATCTAACATCATATATATATATATATATATATATATATATATATACAGGGAACGATCCAAATTAACTTCTGCTTGCACTAGTAAAATCACCATTGGATAAAGCCAAAGAAAGGTGGAAAAAGGAATCGTACAATGTATCGGAGATGTTTATGCCTAGTGAGAAGATAGACTAAACAAATCTGAAATCTGATTCTTCCAGCTGTGCGTCTTCAAGCTCTCTTATGTTCTTGATTATATCTTGAACCCTTTTAGATATTTGATCAGTATGTTCCTCAACAAACTTCAATATGGTGCGTAATTGTTCCTGGTACGCAGCACACAGCCTTTTACATTTTTGTTTCTCATTGTTCAGCGCTTCAGTTAGTTCTCGTATTCTCTGATCCTTCTCATCCTATACAAAACAAAATCATTGTATAAGGAAAGATTACGAAAAAGAAAAAAAAAAAAAAAGGTAGTTGAGCCAAGGGAGCATTTATTTGTCTCTATACTTGAGCATTCATACATCTCTATTCCTATGTGGTAAGAACAAAAGCTAAAAGAGTGATGTCTCACCAACGCTGATCCATAATTTTCGTCATCTCATCTTTGGTTTAGTATCTAGAATGTGATAGCATGAACTAGTAAGCCAATCTCATATGCACCTTTATATTTACAATTAAAAGAGAACGGTAATGTACCTCACTGATCGAATTTTTTGCGGATCCTCGCCATGGTACCTTTCCAGGTGACATTAATGAGTGATTATGCTCCTTTACAAATTTGGTAACAACCCACTTTACCCCATCCCTCAAAGCCAGCCTCAGCATTGCAGGGCAGCCTTCTCGAGTGATGGTTGGGGGAGGAAGTACCCTGTCCTTCCTGTACATATATTTCTTTTCACGGAAACCTTCTTTTGAACAAACAAAATCTTGACCAATTACCATATTGTTTATTCGTGAACGTCGATTATGATGGATTCGCACTGTAAAACCAGTGTGTCTGCCATAAACAACATAAAATTCCCTTGCAGCATCTCTTGACTTGAACTCCATGCCAATATATGGTTCCACAGCATTGCCTAATAAAGATAAACTGTCAGTAGACTCTTCTATAATCTTGTCGACTTCTCCCAAGCATAAATCAATGTTGTCTGAAAGCTCATGATCAACAAATTCCTGCTCATCAAAGCTTTCAACTTGCAAACACCTTACACTTTCATCTGAATCTAACCCTTGACTAGATGTGCTCTCCATTATGCTCTTTCTTGACCAAATAGTTCATTTATGAGAAGGCAGGAGGCAAGCAAAATCAAATAACTTCATTTTCCAACTTCTTTCACCGAAAAGTTTCATCTAACTGAAATTGAAAAGACAAGCAATAAAGAGAAATGAGAAATATGAAGCAAAGGAAGAAGATTTATGAAAATTTGAGTGAATACATCTAAACTCAAATAAGAAACAACATAAGCGGAATCATGAACCCTTAATTCAAACTCTTACCAGATGATGACTGAAGAGATAAAATAGTATTATGGACTATCAAGTGTCTTTAATCCTCTTAAGAACTATGCTAAAAGGTCATCAAGAAATTTAACTTCATTCACTCTTAGTAACATAAGTGCTATACCAACTTGACAAATGCCATATAATGCCCTCTTGAAAGATCAAATTTAGCTCCTTTTTTTAAATATCCCAATAACCAATGTTTCGATAAATTCACAAGCCAAACTCAACATCAGGTTCTAATTCTTATTCCATACTACAGAGAAAACTCTATCAATCTTTTTACCAAAATGAAACAAAATAACCAATAGGAGTTTTCTCAAGTCTTGACACTCACCATAAAGAGCTTTGGATAAAAGGCAAAAGATCTTTTTAAAACAGAAATATGTAAAACATTTCTTAAGCACAAACCTACTATCCAAAAGCGAAGGGTTAGTCGTAATTGGAGCATAAGCAAGCCACAAATGATCTCTACATTAAAATTCCACCTCCCCAAACATGGTGGGCAGAAAAAAAATTTCACATTCTTTAATCCTTTCGGTATCAATATTACAAAACTAACTTCCTTTTTCGCATTGGCCAACCAAAAATTAAAAAAAAAAAAAAACTCTATTCTGCACTTTTTTTTGGGGAACTAAGTTCAACACGGAGCAAGCGAGAAACAAAAATTACAGGAACTACCAGCAAATAAATCATCAGAATGAATTTACTAAAATAAGACACGCAGAAACGAAATTTTATAAACAAATAATTTGTTAATCGATAAGGTCACCATCTTCAGTACAAAGACACAGTAAAAGAGGATAAAATAAAAACAATTAAATATAAATTTAACGATAAAGAAAAGTGAAGGATCAAGCAAAGAATTAGTGTCTTACATGAAGTGATTGGAGTGACACCGTGTATAAACCAAATCAATGTGGCGCTGCTAACTTTTTCTTTTTTCCATTGAGTTTCCAACCAAACGGAAAACAGAAAATAATAATTAAAAATTTTCAAGATATCGAAAAAATGAAAAAATAAAAGGGTTTAAGATGATTTCTGATTAGCCACTTACTGGGAAGAAAAAAAAAATCGAAAACCTACGATTGAAAAGATCGCTAGTTTGCTACGGTTCAGGTGAGGCGTAGGTGGAACTGGTGGAGGGGAGCCGTATCTTATCATATCTTTTTATTCCTTCTGTCCCCCCGGGCCCCACATTCAGATTGAACTAGTAAACATTTAAACGACACCGGTTTTTCTCTTAATTACAGGACACGTAGTCTACGTGTGGACAATAATTTTACAGGGTACAAAGACATAAAGATTTGGATGTCGTCTAATCTATATAGCAATTAGGATGATATTTTGTACTTCTCAAGAAACAAAAAAGATATTTTGCAGATTTTTTTTAAATTTGGGAAAACGAACATTGCCTACATGTTTTAAGATACTGAAAAGAAAAATATTATTCATTCTATTATTTTTTTCCCAACAATTTTCTCTTAGGTTGTAATAATAATTTATTAATTTAATTATAATAATTATATGCCATATCACAAAGTACATATATTTGAAATAAAATTAATCGAACATAAAAGGGCATTACTCAAATGTAAATAGGAAGGTGATGTTCACCATGGTTGGCGTACTCCAAAGAGAGCAAAACAGGCAACAAAATCTCCCAAAGTAAGATATGGCATGTGAAATTTGGCTGATGAGAGTTGTCAAAAGCAGTAAAGATCAAATATTAGATGCATTAGCATTCATATTTTAAATTTTTTCATGATTTTTTGTTGATAAGTGACTTATAAATTTGAAAAATTTACAAATAAAAATTTAGTAAATTCATAAATTTCAATTGAATTGTCGGATTATTCTAATCTTAAAAATGAAGTAATTTCCTCTGTTCTTAAATTTTTTTTGACAAAAAAAATGTGATATTTGACTGTCAATGAAAACAATTTTACTAAGACCTTCGACTCCATTGTCTGACCATTTTGCAGTGATCATAGTCCTGTCAGCCAAGGATGACCATTATAGTGGTTTGACCCCGTCTCTCTGGTTCCTAGCTGCATCTTCTAAGAGGATGCTACTAATACGGGCAAAAAATGGGTTTTCTTGTTCTAGGCCTAAAACCTTTTTCCACTCTTTATTGCAAAAGCAATCCACAAGAGAATCATGAAGCTTCCATTTCATCTAACAAGATGCTTCAAGGTTCATTGCACAATGTTATATGTTAAGCATCTTGACTATAACAAAATGATCCTAAAGAATTCTGTACATGATTAAAAGCTTCCAAGAAAACAAATATACAAATCTGACCATAGACAAAGTGGTCAAGTTAAATACCAAGGCTATCTACGGTGTGTAAATCTCTGCCTTTCAGCTTCATGCTTCCTAACATTGTCAACGATAACTTGAATTTTTGAAGATAGTTCTTCTGTTTGCTCCTCAACATTATTCATAAAAGTAAACAAATGTTCTCGATAAGCTGAACATAATTGCTCTTGATGTGCTAACTCCATTGTGAGTTCTTCAATTTTCTTGTCCTTGTCACCCTAAAAACACGAACAAACCACTCATTTGCTGCAGCAACAGTGAGTGATAATGGAAATGGCAGCATTGAATGGCCATTATGCAAGAATAAAGACATTTAACAATCACTATGCAAATAATTAGTATTGGCTTACAAAAGAAGCAAAGAAAAGGTCCTTAGAACTTTTACCATCAAACAATCATCCTTCATCATATCAGAAGAGCACCTCAACAAGTTCCCAAAGGAAGCTAATATTTATGACAACGCAGAGTGCATGAGTAGTAGTAATACACTCAGCATTAACATACTCTTCCTGAAGCTAGGTCAACATAAAACAGGGTATTGCATGACATCAACTATCCTAGTCCAACACAAAGTAGAATTTATTTTCATTTTATACACGTTTTTCTAATTAGAGCTTCCAGGGACATTTTCAATGATGTACAATTCAAAGTAACAAACGCAAAAGTTATAACACCAAAAACATCATCTATCGGTTCACAAGACAAATACTTCATATCTTAGAAAACAAATTTTAAGCAGTAATTAAGTTCAATTCTTCAAGGAAAGTGGTGACCAAAATTTCAATCATGGTCATAAATCTCAGTGAAAGAAAATTTCACCCACCCCACAGCATATTCTATAATTTTAAATTATCTAGAAAACCTTCCCTCTATATAGAAGCTGAAATTGGCCGTGTCAGACAATTAGGCATTTAGCCAAAAACATGAAATCTAGTGATAGAAACATTCTACTAATTATGTAAAGAAAGTAAAACCAACAAAAAAAAGTAAGACTCAATGATCTCAAGGTCTGTTGTCAAAGAGTCAATCAACAGAGTTCAAAGCATTTAAACACTATTTTATATATATATATATATATATATAACAATTGATACTACTTTTATTATATACAACTTGATAGAAACTCACCATGATACTGAATCCATTGGCTGTCATAATAAGCGGATGATTATGCTCCTTTTCAAATCTTGTAACAACCCATTTTCCAGTCTTTTCCATCTTAACCAAGATAGTAGCTTTGCAACCTTCTCGTGCACTAGGACGTGGCTTTTTCTCTGGTCCCAATGTGCCCTTATGATTAGGAGAGAAACCCTGCTTGTTACATCCCAGACGACGAGCAAGAGTTCTTCCATCAATCCCTGAACGACGACGCTGCATAATTCGCACCACAAATCCTACCCTTCTGGCATACTCTATGTAGAATTTCCTAGCATCATCTTCAGATTCAAATTCCATACCCACATACGGTTCTAAGATTTCGCTTCCTTCTGGTTCAGCTGTTTTTTCTTCAACCAAGCTATCTAATGTCTCAACTTCCTTGACCAAATCCACTGTTACCAAAAACAATTGAATCAGACTTTTAAAGTCATTTTTGTTTTCTATTTTTAATTCAACCAAAATGACAAGTTCTTCTAGTTAAAAATAAAAAAAGTAACATGCTTTTCATGCTATGCAAATCATAAAATTTATAATGCTTTGCTTGCTATATATGGTTCATGTCAAAAATAGTTTTCTAAGTTCTCAAATAGAGTCATACAAACTGCAAGATAAGCACATTAAATTCAAGTGACAAGCAGTAGGAATGGATTCAAATCCAAAGATGAAAAGGATTCTTAAAAAGAAAGCTTTAAAATCAAGTAAAAATGATGAGGTACAAAATTACACAAACATATACAAAAGATAAAACTTACTACAACTATATGATAGAAGAAAAGGAAATGCACAAGATCCTACTATTTTCAATAGCGCTATGACTAAAGAAAGGAAATAAACTAATGAATCCAAAGTGGAAGCTTGAAATCCAATTCCTTAGATGAAAGCACCATGGGGTGCCTTCAAAAAGAAAAACATACAGACCTATGTAAGCTTGACAACAACAATACCATTATTTGGAATGCCGTTATTTAGACAGTTGTTCAACCAAGAGTTGGCAACACGAATTGTAAAGGGACATCGTGATTGACTGAGGAACTGTTGAATTTAATCTTTTCCTTTTCTAGAGGACCTGAATGACAGAATAGAAGATGCAGCATGAATGCGGACTTGAAGAACAGAATTGATACGATACCTTAGGTCGTTAATCAAAATGATATATTCATAAAAACCAGACCCGAAGACAACAAATGCAGCAGCAATCGGTAAATAAATTCCATAAAATTAATTAGTCAATCTTCATTCCAAAATTAATATCTCCAGAATCTTATACAAAATTCTTTCCTTTTCTACAGGACCTTCTTCCTTCCATGGCCATCCAGCTACAGCAACATAACAGATTGGGTATTTAGGCAGAATAGTCGAACTATATTCATTGGACAGATCATCCTAATCCACACCAATAATTACAATTTTTTTCCCTTAAAAAGCCAGTCACCAAATTTTGCATAGCTTAAATACTCAAAATTACAAAATTTTTTCCCAATAGTTTCTGTCAACAAAACCCTAAAATTCCTAAGCCAAAGAAATATCACTCATAAATTTTACCTATATATACACGTAGTTCGTCCGTCTCGAACAAGAACGCGGAAGAGAAGGGTGTGTTAGGGTAATTTAGATCGAATTATAGAGTAACTAATAAAAATAATTAGTAACAAAGATTATCGAAGCGTTAAAATTTTGAGAGGGAAAAACTCACTGAATGAAGAGCTTTTGAGAAGACATCCAAAGACAATTAGAGAGGCAACGGATTCTCTGATCCGATGCAGAAAGAAATACAGTCTGGATATGGAATGATGTATTACACCGTTGGATCGAAACTTAGATTGCCCAAACATTTGAGTTTCTTGGCTTGTCCGCCGTGTAAAATGTAAATGCTCGCACTTCATCCTTACTTTCTTTGACGGGTTAATAAATTCGGATCGGGTTTCTTTACGAGGGCAACCCAAATAACACTACCGATCCGAAATTTTCTTACCGTAAAAAACATCAAATTTAAATTTCGACCTAATATTTATATATTACCAAATATTCTTTGACACTTTTTTTTTTTTGGCCAAACTTTGATACTGACTTGTTAATTTTTACTATATTTACAATATATTATATTAAAATTTTAGAATGATAAAATTTTAATTTGTAAATGTAATTTTTTACTGTAAAAATAAAGTGTAAGGAAGTTCGCACAATTTTACCGCAGAGAGTAAAATCTGTTCGGATAGGTCCCGAGTCCCCGATTCCCTCGCTGGCTCGCTCTCTACAGCGAAGCGGCGAAGCCGATCGTTTGGTCAACTCGATTCTTGCTTTCTGAACTCTCACTTCAAAATCAAAACCTCTGCTTTTTTAAAGTTTAAACCCAAAATTCTTGTCTTCGTACTACGCCGTGCCCTGCCCTACCCTGCACTGGATTCCAACTTGGATCTTCAATCCAGTAAGTCAAATTTAATTAAAAATCTGAAATGAAGCAGTTTGATTAAGCATTGATAATTTCCTTTTTTTTGTTTTTTTCCTTTTATCAGTGGATGAAAATCCTTCCATGGAAGAAGCCGAAACTGAAACAATAGAAAATTCGAACGGAAAAGAGTTAGTTGCAACGGACGGAGCTTCTGATGAGGAACCGTATGTCGGGATGGAATTCGAATCCGAAGAAGCAGCCAAAGTGTTTTACGATTCGTACGCCACACGTGTGGGATTCATCATGCGTGTGGATGCGTTTCGCCGCTCAATGCGTGACGGCAAAGTCGTTTGGCGTCGACTGGTCTGTAATAAAGAAGGGTTTCGAAAGCTAAGGCCTCGTAGAAGTGAAAACAGAAAACCTAGAGCGATCACGAGAGAAGGGTGTAAAGCAATGATTGTGGTAAAGAAAGAGAAAACTGGGAAATGGGTGGTTACGAGGTTTGTCAAGGAACATAATCATCAGCTTGTTCCTATTCCCACCAATGGCCGGAGAAGCATGCTTTTGTCGCAAACGCCGGTATGTTTTTTTTCTTTAAGTATTTGCTTTGCCTTGATAAGAAATGGATTCTGTAAGGAATTAACTGAGTTAAGAATGGGTCGGTTTTCATAGCAGTGTAAAATTGAACCAGTATTGGTGAATGCAAATGTATTGTTGTCTTTTTGAGGGGTAAACTCAATAGAATTGAAAATTACCTTATAAAGTGTAGGAAGAAGTTTTTGTGGTGTCTAAGGTTTGCAATGCCTTAACCTTAAGTGGGGTTTACGTCTCAATTCCGGAATCAGCAAAGAGTAAATAAAGATTAATTACACAACGAGGGCACATAACTGAGAAATAGGATCATTGAAATGGGATTCCATGCCTTAAAATCTAGGAACTTATGTCAAATCATTTTTGATAAGCTAGTTACAAAGATTTCAGAAGGGCAACGAAGCAAAACTACTAATTCTTACAAATAGAACTAAGTATCAATCAGGAGAAAGTATGCATTATCCTAAGAGTGAGCTCTATGTCAATCACACTCCAAATCATAGCCTTGGAGCATTACTATGGTCTTTCCGCATCTGTGTAAAACTTTGCAGAAGTATGAATCTGACTGTTCAAAATTGGGTCAATTGGTATTTTTAGGAGTGAGGTTGGCATACGGAAAAACTCTTCCAGGTTTAGGCTCATTGAGGCGAATGTGTAGGTTGATCAGGGAATAGTTCAAAGCTCACTTAAGTGAAACTTTCAGAAATTAGCTGTAGTTCAGAGTGAGATCATTAAGATTTCAACATTAGAACTAGCTGAACTAGCTTTTGAGGACTGACCTAAAGATATTGTTCTAATTTCCGGAACTAGAAAGACTTTTTTTAAACACTAGAAGATGGAGGTAGATGTCTAGAGCTAGATATTCCTTAAAATGGTAGCTATTTGGCTGGAAAGTATCAGTGAGCACTGATTATGAGTTCTATTGTGTTTCTGAAAAATTATATTAGTATTAATTAATATATGGTTGGTTAGGAATGAGACTTATGGTTAAAATTTGAGCTTATGTTCTGTAACTCCATGCCGTCTATATGCTACATTTGATCAAATGGGCTCATTGGGGAAGATTTTACTGTTGAACAAATTGCTTAAGACTGGATCCTGTTCATTTGTTATTATAGGCAAAATAGGAGTTGTGCACCATATTCATTTACCTGAACTTTACCTTGAGCTGTTCCTTATAACTTGAGACCACTTGTTATGTTCATATATTTGTATCTTTCATAGTTGCTTTCTTAATACAAACAGAAGAGCTGGAAATCAGCTTCCACAGCTTCTCAGTCTTAACTTGCAAAGTGATTAACTTGAATTGCTTGAGTGATATGCTAATTTTCTTGCTGATTGAGCAATTATGGATTCATTTCAGATATCTGTGTGCCTGTATCTACACCTGCTTGGACCTAAGACCTGAAAATTTGTACACCAATCTCTTTGTTTGTTTTAGTTGTTTCCATGTTAGAATTCTGTTGGCCTTTGATATTCTTAAATATTTGTAATCTATTGAAAAGATTAAGCATGCCACTTTTTTTCTCATCTCTCTATCTCTCACTCACAAACATATGCACATTCTAGGATGAGAAAGACATAAAGATTCGAGAATTGACAGCTGAGTTACAACGGGAGAGAAAGCGCTCTGCAGCATTTCAAGAGCAGCTTGATATGGTATTAAAAGAAATGGAGGAGCATTCCAATCACCTATCAAGGAACATTGATGATATCGTTCAAAGTTTAAGGGAAATTGAGTCAAAGCGAGTGATACTTTCACGGAGGTAATATTACTAATAAACTGTACAATTTCTTTGACATGCTAGCAACTCTCCAAAGAGTTGCTTGTAATCTAGGTTCTTTTTATTCTTTTTCCTTTTTTTCCAAGGGTGAGATGAAGGATATTCAGCATGTATGTTGAGGTGAATCACCATGTATTTCTAAGAAAATGAGCAATTAAAGTTAGTGCTATGTTTAGTGTACAAACTCTTTATCTTCTTCTGTTTAACTAGGTACAATTAAAGTGAGTTTGGTTCATGTACCTTCACTAATTGTTCAAATCATTCTCAAAATTCAAATTGTGAAAAGCATATGTACTATCAATGAAGGGAGTGGCCCCAGAATGGGCATAGCCTATTTCCCATAAAAGAGAATGACTAATAATTTTGAAACCCTAAACCCTATTCCTTATTTCACTGCCAAATTTTCTATTTTCTAAAATCTTTTTATATTTCTTTTTCCTAGCCGTTTGGGCGCCGTGTCAAAGTCTCAAAAGTCAATCTGGACTCCTTTTTCTTACTACTTCTTTTTGGGCCTAAATGTTTTAGTGACGTCACACTTATTTGTAGCAATGTTTTTCCCTTGAATTTTCTATCATTTTTTAGAATATTAAATAATGTCTAATACTAAAAGGAGCATAAAGCATAGTATAATCAAGCCATTTTCAATGGCTATTTTTATATATATATATATATATATATATTTTTTTTTATATTTGAGTTTGTCATGAATTGAATCTTGATCATTGAAACTAATAATTCAACACCAATAATTCGTTATCAACATTTGAGTAATGAAATTATCCATACAAATTAAACACAAGAAAATTTCTCAAGCTGAAAACAATTAACATCACTGCAGTACTTCAATGACATAATAACAATAATTGACCCTTATTCAAGAAACTGGAAATAATATCTGTAAATGTAGTACTACATCTTCAACATGATCATCATCATTGTTTATTGGTGCATACTTTTCGTTCAACATTCTTGACGGAAGTAAATATTGCATTCATCATGAAGGGGACATAAATAGATAGAGCAAGAAGCACAATGGCAATCAGAGCTCCCGTAGCCCTCCATGCATAAACACTCCCACAAGAAAGCTTCCCGACCTTGATTTGGATCACATCGACCATCGAAATGGTTAGGAATATGCATCCGAAAACCGAAGCCCACACCGATAACAACAGCATGCATCCCCTGACAACCTGGTTACGGGTATGCTTGAAGTCTTCTTCTTGGCAGATGGTGACATGGATTTTAAGTGCCTTGGCTACCAGGCTTGATAAGAGGAAGCAAGCAAACGACGCCACTTCGTTTACGACAAGCCGCTTCGCGTTGTTGGCACCAGCGTCGCATTCAGTGCGATTCTCAAGGCTACGCTCGCCTTGACGTGCCAGGGATAAACCCACGAAGACGGCTAGCGTGAAGAGCGAATTCACGTTCACAAGGTCGTCTAGCGCTTTCTGGTGAATTTCTCGCACATTTTCTATCGGTTCTTTAGACTTTTTAGCTGCTCCTTGGCCTCTGGCATCGCCTGTTTCTGGATCGCCACCTCCCCTGTCAAAGTGAAAATTAACAAAAATTATAATCGCCAACAAGTAAATAATTAAGGTAATAAATAAATCGATCAGACATGAGAGAGAAGAGAAGCCAACCTCTGCATTGTTGAACTCGTTCTTCTTTGGACTTACAATATTCCTTTTGTGTAATTTGGTGGTTCTCGCTCAACGGGTCTTATAGATTGATTTCGTTCTTGCCTTGAATTTTAAGCAATAAAATGGTGAAGTTACCGTGCATAAAATAAAAAAAGTGCAAAAGGGTTTGGGGGGGGGGGGGGGTGAGTTTGATAGCTGTTTTTTATTCTTTGATAAGCCCTAGAAGTTAAAGACATATTAAAGGGAAATGTTCGAAAGGAATTTCACTCGCTGCCGCAGCTTCTATACTTCAGGAAAAGTTAACTGTATATATACACCATATTTCAAGCCCTACTTTAGAAGGTTACCATTAAAGATTATATTAATGATATAATAACTATTAGTATTATATTTGAACAAAAACTCGAATTATTATTTTATTTTATTTTATATGATGTGGTCATGAATTTGCGAATGCTTCTACGATATGATGAGTAAACGATTGTGACAGCATGGGCATTTGTGTTGGTTAAGATCGAACCTCGCATAGAATTTGAGGTAGGAACGTATTTTATCACGAGAAACTCACTTTTTATTCTAATAGGAACAGTTATTATAGCGTGAGAATTAGGGTGAAAACGTGAATGATTTTAAATTTTTTATTAAATATAAAAATAAAAAAAGATAATATAACACTTGTTTTATAATCATACTTTATATATATATATATAGTAAATAAATTTTTTATTAAATAATATGGATTATTATTTTAAATTAATTAAAATTAATATTGTTACTTAAAATATATATTAATATATTTTGAAAAAATACATAAATATGTAAGAAAATTTTTTTTATAAAAATATATTTTAGTTTTTTTAATTATAAATGGATTATTCATCTCTATTAAATATCTGTGAAAATGAAAATAAAAATAAATTTAAAATAGCTTACCGTCTGAAATCCTAATTTGAGGTGCAAACATGGTATTCTCTTGGACAAAGGATGCACAAAGAAGAGTGGAAAGATGAGTTCGTACGCTAAGCCTAAATCCTACATCATGGCTTATAATTGCTCCAGTCTCAAGTTTCGACTTCCGATAAGGTGATTTGCATTCGTCCCAAATAAAACGTTTCCAGCTGCTCCCAACTGCCTAATTTCTTGTCTTCCCATCCCACAAATAGAAAGGTTAACATCACAACAACATGAGAAAATAAAGTGACACTTGATCCACTGCAAAAGCGGTGAAGCCATGAAACAGCTTTAACAAGCTCCAATTACCTTGCCTAATCACCACAATTACCATTCCACATACACATCTATCTAAATTTTCGGTCACTTGGATATCTATATACAAGTTGCCATGCTAGATCCAGCAAATCCAGGAACCAAAATTTTTGTCAACAAGAGCATCCTCAAGTCTTCAAGTCAAGGAAAATGGATTAACATGTCCATCCCTAAGTCAATCTAATCAGTCATGGTGGATAAGGACTAAATCATAAGAAAGCCGTGTATATTGCAATTTGCAGCTAGTCTAGTTGATAAGGCAAGAAAATCATTCCTTAGACGGGATCATTTTACTCAGCAAGAGCTTCATCATTCAGATATTTCGTTGTTTGTGGTTTGGGGGGCTACAAAAACAATGAATGTGATAATGGTAGCCATCTGTTAGCTAACCACCTTGAAAGAACTATCTCTGGAATTTGGACCCCCAAAAAGAGACATGCAGTTGGTATTAATTTCTCTTTTTTGTAAAGGTGTTTGATTAATTCTGAACTGAACACACACACACACACACCCATAAAACCTAAAAAAAGAAAAAGATTTCATATTCATATGTAAATGCAATTCTTGAAAAGTAATAGGTAAACCAGAAATAGCTACAATATCATTCCCCAAGTACTACTACAGCCCCAGTTTACAAGTAATTGTGCAGCAAAGTTGAAGAGCTCGTCAAATAATCAAGTTCAAAGCTTCGTAATTTTAACTAGTTTGTATGTTAGAATTCTTATCAAATACTTTTGCCTGAAAAAAAAAAAAAAGCCTGTTATCAAGTCTCCCACGAGCAGGACACCAAGAATTTCATACCAATGAACAAAATTTGTCCGTTAAGGGTGAAAATAACGACTAAACTGCTATAGCTAATCATCCAAATCTAATGTAAGAACACTACTGAAATAAACTTAGCCAAATCAGAAAACATAACAGACTAATCATTATTCAAATTCAAATTAAACGTATTGCATACTTGAATTCTGAAGTTTAGGCCAACATATTCCCTCAACTCAACCAAAAATAAGAACACAAAAGCAACCCATGATTTAATTTACAATATTGTTACTAAAACTAATAGGAAAGTTCATAGCCACCATTTTTTCATTATTCAATGCAAGAAAGCATAAACAACAGTTGAAATATAAAACAAGAGGGCAGAAGAAACCAGAATAACTAAAGCCGCCACCGCATGAACCGCATACTTACTCCCACAAGACAACAACCCTAACCGGATCTCGATCACATTCACCATCGAAAGCATCAAAAACAAGCACCCCACAACGGACCCCACAGCCGAACCCATCATCCCAAATCTCAAAACTTTAAGGTTAATGTGGGCCCTGAAAGCTTCATCGACATCTTTACTATTCAACAGATTGATGGCAAGCTTTAAACCCTGAGCTACCAGTGACGAGAAAAGGAAGAAACTGAAGGAGACGACCTCGAAGACTAAGAGCTTTTTAACTACGTCGATGCCGGCGTCGCAGGGGGCTCGATTCTCGAGGCTATGTTGGCCTGCGGTGGTTAGAGAGAGACCCACGAAGACAGCGATGGTGAAGAGGGAGTTAACGTTAACAAGGCCATCCAAGGCTGTAACGTGAACGCTTGTTGTTGATGAAGAAGAAGAGGATGTGGAAGTCAGTCTTCTGGGATTGCCGTTGTCGGTGTAATAGTCCTTTGGGTACTGCTCAGATCTGAGAAACAGACGAATTTACAATGTGACAGATCTTAAAAGAAAACGGAAAGTTTTTCAATGAAAAAGAAAGGAAAAAAAAAAGAGAAAACTTTACTCATCCATTATTGAATCTTGGAAAATTAGATAGTGTTGCTTGAAGGGTTTATGCTTCCTGGAACAGAAGAGGAAAGGTAGCCCAGCTTCCCACTTTTTTTATTCCTTATGGAAGAAATAGAGAGGGAATTGAAATATGCTTTGCTTATATATTTCTTTTATAGATTATTATTATTATATATTGCTTGATGCTTTGCTTTTACGTTGCTTTTGGTCTTTTTCGGAGTGGGTATGGGAATTAGTGAAAGAAAAGTCCGAAACTTTGACACGGGAAACAGCTGGGAGTTTGTTTCAACTTCGAGAAAGCATCAAATCAATGTCTTTGTAGATAAAGTGGAATGACAGTAATGCCCCTGCAATTAAGGATTTGTGGTCCAGTCGATGTTCGTTGAATCCCAATTTTGGGTATTAAAAAATTTTATCATAGAAGAAGTTACTTACATTCATGCTTTAAGCAGATTGCAAAAATATGCAGCATGAAGTCAGATTCCAACTGAAAAGCAGAGCTGGCATGATGGTTGTTGAGTCATGCAGATCATTTCCAATATCCAGAAAAAAGATAAAATTATTAGCAACTTTTTCTCCTGGAATTTGACAGTTTTTTGTGCTGTGCCTGCACAGCATCTCTGCTTTTTTTTTTTTCCTTAATAATGTGGTGATGATTTTCAGTAAATCGATCAGTTAGTTAGCAGCCTAAATGAGTTCCTAGTCACCTTTATCTTTCTTTGATTGGAAAAAAAGTCCGAGACTAAAGAAAAGCTTAATCAAGAGCAAGGTTTTGATTAGATCAAGTTTTTGATATCCAAAACTTGACACTCACCAATCAAACTGGAAGTTTGTATATGAAATAAACATTACTATTTTTATAATTTTGTTTCGATGTAATATCTTTTCCGAACGATTCAAAAGGAGTATTCAATCAAACATTGCTATTTTAATATATTTATTTTCTTCTATAATCAACATCTAGGAAGTGTCAACATAAGTAATTAAGTATATATAATATAAATATGGGTAACAGATATCAGCCATTCTCAACAAGGACATTCGGTTTATCAACCACCTCATGATGTTGTCCCCATTTCGAAATGCTGGGTGCCACAGCTGCTATGCTATGTTGACATTTTACAAGCCATTGATCAGCCAATTGATCGCACAAATTCGGCAAATAAAATATCAGAACTCACATAAAATTAGCACTGTAAAAGTGTAAAGTCTTGGAGAGTGGAGACTTGTACATATGAAAGAATGGTAGCAGCAAATTGTAAGGTGAGTTTTACATGGTAATAAGCCTAAGACTTACACATTGTATTTGCTTTCAATCTTCAGCTTCAACTTCTTTTAGTTTCACATTCTTGATTCTGTATTGAAAGGCCTCTGGTAATGTGATCTGTATGCTTTTATATATCTACCCAAACCAATTCCAGCTGCGTTGGTAATGTTGAATTGTTCGATGGAGCTCAGCAGTTTTTAGAATCCTAGCTTGCTTTGATTCACCACTTAGGTAATGAATAACACTAAAAAACTCCTACAGCTTCTAAGATTCAACTCCATAGAATAGCTTATCATTAACAGAAGCATACTTCTTTTCATGATGAATATTAAATAGTAAAATGGACTGTCCCTAACCTTCTAAGAGATACTTTTGAAATCAACTACTACTAAACAGTCACTTATCTAGAAGTTCTACTTCAGTTATTTGTTATTCAGAAAAGCTGAAACGAATTGTCTACAAAGGTTCATTATCTCATTCAAACCAACGATGGCATAGACTTATGGGAATGTAGTGGTCAGTAATCCCACTTATCAAAAACAGTTGGCCAACCAAAAATAAGCAAAGAATTTACCATGTGGAGATCCATGATATAAGAGCACACGCTAGGTGCCAATTACCTTAACAGAATATACATTTCATATTGAGTTGATTGAACTAAAAAATATAATCCTCTTATTTGAATCAGGACCATTTGTAAAACTACAACATTAAAATCAGGACCTTTTGTACAATTATAACATTCAAATCAGGACCTCAACTTTAAGACTTCATCTCAATAATTGATTAGGGTGTTCATCCAAAGGATGGAAACCTTAGCAAGAATATATCCGGCAGCTCCTTGTTTCGTACAAGGCAAATTACTATCTAAAGCACTGGAATACCAGAACCACTAATAGCCAGGTATAAATACAAGTATAATAATCACCTGGCATCTGCAAATACTCTGCAAAACCATGAAGATAATAATGTGGATATATCAAGCATAAGATAGCATCAACTTCCCACCCTTAAATCTTCAACATCAATTGATGGTTTGCCACTAGAGCAGAAAAATAAATTAGCAGACATATAATTACTGGTTTGACTCCGGTTTAAATGATGAATAGAGGGAGAAATTGAAGGCAATTTTGCCAAAGGAGGAATTTGTTAATAGAACAGAATTAAACAAGTCAAAAGCAAAAAATTTTTATTTTCCGATTTTGATTTTCTTCTGAATTGGAGGAGGAAAAAAAACAAAGTCTAGCATTGATCAACGCAGTCCAACTGTGATAGAGCTTTGTTTAGTATTGTCTAGCATGAATCAAAGGGTTTTATCACTGCATCTTTATTAGTGTCATAACCACATATCCTGTACTAAAGCGAATGCAAACTAACAGTGGGATGCAAACAGCAATAAAAGAGATTGATTATTAAATATAACTGTAAAATAATTATTAACAAAATAAATATTTAGGAGCTTAACATGATATTATGGAGTAACCTGTGTTGTGGCCTGAATTGTACCCTGACAACCCTTCCCAGAGGGTATTCCTGAAAAGGATGACTGAACTTTGCTTCAAGTTCTGTAACAATCCATTTCCCAGAGTTATCCTTCCTCACCATAATCATTGCCTTACAACCCTACCTTGGCTTCCTCACTTCAAGCCTTTCGGTTTCCTTTTCCTTGTTATAAAGCAATCTACGACTGATTACTGAGCCATCAAGATCTGAATGATGACAATTACCAACTCGGATAATAAATCCCATATGATTGGCATTTGCATTGTAGTTATCATGGAAGCCTCCTCAGATTCATTCCATAACAGGTTCCACATTTCCATCTACTTGATGTTTTATCAGCTTTTCTCCATGTTAGAAGTTAAGCATTTCTCCACCTTTGCCAACGTAAACCACATCAGATATGTTATTGATAGATTATTTGTACATGCAATAGGCTTCCTCTTTTCAAAAGAGTTCCTATAGAAGAATGAAAATGAAAATTTCCCAATTAGTCAAGATACAAATGTTACAAGAAATGGTGACCAATTGAAGCTTTACTCAACCCCTAGCTGGTATCTTCTTTTTGACTGATAGCCTTGCTTAGAGATATCTATAATGCTTAAGAATCTCCTTTTTTTTTTCATTTTTATTCACCAGTAATCTCCACAAGAGCAATTCCCATTCTCAAAATGGTGGAATCTTTTGCGATCTCTCACCACAATTTTCCTTCTAGTAATCTTAGCAATGAGCTTGATCATTGAGTGGCAATCATCACAAACCCTCAAGTTCTTCACAACCCTTATGGTGGTACATGGTTTAGTAGAGATTAGACCATAGCATATTGCAAGCCTCTCGCTGTGTATTGCTAAAGCCTGCTCTTTCTCCCAGTCTTCAATATCATGCAAGACAACGCCTGTTGCTGGAGTATGTCCTGCTTCTTGTAATATTTGGTTCAATTCCTCTAACTTCTTATATATTTTTTCCTTTTGAGGGTGCCGTAGGTCTCCCAAAAGAAACTCATGGATCTCGTTATTCGCTTCAATGGAACTACAACCTGGTTCTTTTTGGATTCCACCATCCTTCATCATTGCCCTGATTTGAGCTGCTTCTTTCCATTTCCCTGATGAAGCGTAGATATTTGATAGCAGAAGTAAGTAGCAGAATCTACAACTTCATGGTTCATTAAAATTCTCGCAACTTGTTCTCCTAATTCAAGGTTTCCATGGATTTTACAAGCACTCAGCAAAGCCCCGAACATGACATGATCAGGTGCTATTTTCATATTTTCCATAAAATTATAAGCCTCTTTAAGATGACCTACACATCCAAGAAGATCAACAATGCATCCATAGTGCTCAATCTGCGGCTGAATCCCATAATCCCTACTCATAGAAAGGAATATCTCAAAACCCAAATCAACCAAACCTCCATGACTACAAGCATTTAAAACAGCAACAAAGGTAACACTAGTTGGCAAAAGCCCTTGCTTAGTCATTGCTCGAAAAATCTCAATAGCTTCAATACTCTTCCCATGCATAGCAAGCCCTGAAATCATTAAATTGTATGTAATCACATTTCTCTCTTTCATCATTGCAAAAACTCGTTCAGCCTCATTAATATCACCACACCTTGAATACATATTGATTAATGCACCCCCCACAAAATGATTAAGCTTTATCACATGCTGTTTCCGCAGGTAAGAATGAACCCATCTTCCAAGCTCTAACGCTCCCAATTGTGAACACGCAGACAAAACACAAACAATAGTAACTTCGTTAGGCATCACATTCTCTTTTTGCATTTCCCTAAACATCTCCAAAGCCCAGTTCATCTCCCCATTCCTGACCAACCCATCAATCATTGCGGTCCAGCAAACGGTATCCTTAATCCTTACCCGATAAAAAATCTCAATCGCCTGCTCAACCAATCCATGATCAAGAAAACAATTTATCATGATCGTTGAGGCAACAACGTCTCTTTTCGTCATTTCATCAAACATCTTCCTTGCATCATCAAATTCCCCGCATTTCCCATAGAATTCGATCAGCTTCATGGTTATCAATCTATTCGAGCTTAACCCAAGTTTCAAAGCTTGGCAATGAACCTGTTTTCCTTCTCTCAAAGAAAAATGAGACCCACAAGCTTTCAAAACAGAGGTTATCACATACTTATCCGGCACAATAAATCGATTGATCATTTGAAAATAAAGGCTAATCCCTTCAGAGTAAGAACCAGCCAAAACAAACCCATCAATGATAGCAGTGTAGAGGAACACATTTGGGTTAAGGGTTTGTTGAAAAATCTTGGAGGCATAGCTAATGGAGGGGAAAGAAGAGCTAAGACGAACAAGTTCGAAGAGGATGAAAGGGTCTTGGTCATGGAGAGTTCTAATGATTTTGGCATGTATTGGTAGGATTTGGTTGATGTGTTTGCAATTTTTTAAGAGAGAAATGAATTCTTTTCTTTTTAGAGTGGAGTTGGAGGGTTTTCGATTAGAAATTGGCGGATAAGTGAAGTTTCCCACAACGGCTAGCGTCGAGTAACTCATTTGCTGATGTTCTAACTCTTACTTTCGCGTGTGCTTGTGTTTTCTTTTTCTTTTACATGCGCTCTCCTTTCCCACCTCAGATTCAAACTCCTTTTTTCATTTGATATTGTCAAATTTTAAAATTTATTTTAAAAGCATCAGAATTTGAAATTGAACCTGAATCCTGATAACTGATATTAAAAATTTAGACTTGAAACCACTAAAATAAAAAAAATTTTAAATTTGAGAAAAAGAATTTGAACCTTTACGCTTAAGATCTGACTTTTCTTTTTTATGGATAATTGGAGGAAAATATGAAAAAGAAAACAAAGTGTATACAGAATCTAGTGTAAGAAACAATTACGCGATGATTAATCTAATTTACAAGTACAGCAGATTGGTTTGAACAAGGAAACACTAATTTTGGGTTACAAATAACTGTTCTGCTGTTTGATATAAAAGAATTAAATTGTAAAGTCGAGCAAAAGGTATGTTGTTGACAGAATGACATGCTATCAGCAAGGGAAACCATCAAGGCAAAGGTGAACAACCTTGATGAGTTGCTTCAGAAAAACCTATTTCTAGTAGGGTTGCTGAGCCAGAAGATAAAAGGAAACTGGGCTACAGCAATGGAGAGCAAGAGATAGTGGTGCTTGCTTGAATCATAACTTCTTATCTCTGCAAACAGAGTTCTATTCATTGTCTTCAACAAGAAGGTGCCCATGCACAAACATATCCACAAAACCATAAAGTAATATCGATAGTTTAAAGTGACCGCGCCACCATGGCCACGCATATCCCAGTGAAAGAATATCCAGCATATGCAATCATGTCAAGCAATGGGGCCTCTCCTCCCCCTAGTGAAAGCAATGATATCTTGAGCAGCATCACTTGGAGAAACCAGCGCACCATTCCTTTAACAAATTCCCAATTCAAGGCCTCCGGACTAAACCTGGCTTGAATTAGAGAATTGAGGATGTCATATAAAGATAAAATTCGAAGCTCTAAAAGCATTCCAAATATCCAAACCTACTTTCGTGAAAGACCTAATGAGATGCCGGCAAGAACTAAGTAGGTAGCAAATGCCATAAATGGAATGTACAAATCAGGGGCATTTATGTCATTAACCGGAGGTTTATAGGAGAGTTTGCCTCCAATTGGCTCTGTAATTCTAATCCAGTGACCCTAAACACGCAAAGAAATAATAAAGAATAAAGAAATCTTCGTCATATTAAACATTTATATATATATATATATATATATATATATGTTTTCTTGTCAATGGAAGAAAGAGTTGAGGCAGTTAAGCCAACTATAGAATTCTGTGCTTAATGTGTAGAAAAGGAAGCAGAATAATCTTCAGTTTATTTCTGACATAATGACCATTCACCTTGAAGTAATATTGAGGATCAGAGAAGTACTTGCTTATCTGTCAATTGAAAACAGATTGCAAAGAAACCTGTTGAATTCTTAATGACAGAGAATACATAATTTTCATGTAAAAGCTTATCCACCAAAATGGTTAAAAGGGAGTAGACCCACTGCTCAGGAGGCTATTTTTACCTCATTGAATTATTGAGCTATCATAATGGCTAAAATGATACCATTAAGCTTTAAAAAGAAATTGTAAATCAGTGCAGTTTTGTTCCACTTAAAGAGAAAAATGAAAAATCATGGCCTTGTAATGTCTTTTACTAAAATGAGGCAAAAGAAAGATATTTGAAAGAATGGTTAAATAGCGTGCACAATATCAGGAGTTTACTTTTGCATCATGTTTATTGCAATAACTTACAGCTTATATTGCTTTGTACATAATTAGAGCCTGACCCAAAAAGTTTTCCTCCATATGCCCCTGATCCTTCTCAAATTAGTCCAGAACCAGCTCCAACAAATGCATTTCCAAAAGGATTGGATGGGGGATTTTGTGGTGGCCCTGACACTCCAGGAAGAGGTCCTAGATTATTATTGCGCATCTCTGTTATAAGTCAATAATATGCATATTAAGAAGAGGTTGCAACCAAATGCTGTAATGCAAACAGAAACGAAGAACTTAAGAGCTCCTCCAGCAATGACAATCACAGGGTAGGATTAAAAAATGGGGAATCATCTCACTTGCATACCAGAATTTTATCGCCACAAATATCCTTCATTTGCAAATATATATATATATATATATATATACACACACACACACACACAGAGTAATATAGAGAAATAAACATTTGATTACTAAGTTCACACCTAACCACATTAAAGACTAGACAGCCTTTTTATTTAAATCCATTTATGACTCTCTTCTTTGAATCATTGGGTTTTATTTCCAAGCAACCTACACTACTCTTCATCCACATCAACCACAGTCTACAAACACTCAGAAATCAAAGGTAGATGTGTCAACAAGGTATATAGCTCAGACAATAATCAAGATCTAATTAGAATAACACAGCAGCATACATTTAAGTTTTATGCTAAACAATCCTATCAGGTTTGGTTCAGCACAAGACAATAGCCAAGCTCATAATCACCACTCATTCTCTAGCTCAACTAATTGACAAATAATCCTACAATTAAAGAAAAATAAAAGAAATCCCACAATAAAAATGCGAATTCAATCCGAAATAAAAGCAATATATCACAAAAAGAAGACATTTTTCAGTGCAAAATTAAGGTTCCTCTTGTTTTAATCCATATTCCCAATTTATGAAAGAGAAAACCTCAAAAGGTTTAAAATTTAGACTTTTAGAGTAAAGCCCATATTTTGCCACCAAATCAACCCCCAAGTTCCAAGAAACATAACATTTTTCTGTTAAGCAAACTCTGTTTTGCCAGCAACATTACAATTGAGAAGTTCAAGGTCGGACATGAATAGCAGATTGTAAGTGATTCCCAGATAAGATCCTTGGTTTTCAATGATAATATATTTCCACTTACATTACATACAAGAATAAACAAATAATTTTTTTGAAGGAATAAAAAAAAAAGTTTCAATAGAAAGAAAAAGGTAGAAAATACCTTGGAACGGCTCTTTGTCGGTTGTTCTTGTTCTGTTTGTTGCAAAAAGATTTTGACTTTTGCCCCCAAGTCACCGTGTTGATAGCCAAGCCCGCGTTGAAAACTAAGACGTCGTCGTTTATCACGGTGCTAATAAATACTTGAGAATTAATATTTTAGATATTCATGAACGTCAATTCAATTAAAAATAATTATTTAAAATTTAATTAAAATTATAATAATAAAATAAAATTGAATATTTTAAAAAAAACGATTATGCATTTAAAATAAAACTACCACTCCGAATGTAATTTTCTTTTTTATTCTTTTCATCAAGTAACTTCTTTTTTTGTCTTCGTCATCAGTAAAATGCACTCGCAATCCTGTTGATGATCCCATAAGACTTGAAACAATGAAAAAAGTCAAACAGTTTAAGGTTTTACAGTCAGCCATTGAGCTTGGTTACCACATCGCATTACATGGTCATGGCTCTTTTCCCACTTGGAGGATCCTTGGATCCAAGACGTTATGACAAGATTAGGCAGTTCACAACTCAACCTAAGCATCCAGGCACAGAGCTTCTTTCATGCAGGCAAGATCAATCATACTAAAAAAGCAACATTACTTTTTTTATTGAAGGGGCAATATACAGAATCCTAAAAAAAAAAAGAAAACATGAATTATGACCCAAAAAGAGGATTAAAAGAATCATTGCTTCTTCTATGAGAAAAGAAGTTCACCACCGGTGGGCCTTCTACCTCTATGTGGCACTGCTTCGTCAAGCTTTCGCCCATCGCAAAAAATTTCCCACTGCTGCCTCCTGCAAGAATCTGTATCGTGTCTCAGTCTCAGTGTGGTTTATCTTCCTCTTGGCGGCCACTTACTGATCCTCGCATTGGTAAGCTATTGCTTCACCAACTAAAAGATGGTAAAAGGACACTAACAGTCCTAGCATCAGACTTCAATAGCATGCCAAAATGTGGAAATCGAACGTTTAATTAAAACAAAACAAACTCAATTGCAATTTAATATGTATACATGATAATTAAGGGAAAAAAGGCAGCATGTTAATTATCTGCAAGTATACTAGAGAGGGGTATGCATCTTGAATTACGCCAGTCCTCTTTGCAGCAACTCAATATTTTTGTATATTTGAGACGAAATACTGACAAATTGAAGGATAGAATGAAAGATGCAGAGAATACTTACAGAAGAAAATATCAATCCAAAGCTAATAAGAATGTAAATCAGTTTTCAAATATTGAATAAAATTCTAATGTTAGCATAAATATAGAAGAAACTGCTAATTAATGACCTCCAACCGCATTTATGTAGATAAACTGGTTACCAATAACCACAAAACATAGTCAAAGGCAGCCTAAATTAAAATGAGCGCATACACACACACATATATATATATATATGTATATATATATATGGCACATAGAAGATCTAAAGCTCAAAAGGGCTAATCTATACGTATATACGATCAACCAAAACTTTGATTGGCTTTCAACCAAGTGATTTACACAATAGGGATCATGTTAGTGAATATATAAACTATTCTTCAACCCTCACTTAACAATTTAAATATTTTGATTAGGTCTAATTTCACCAGAATGCCTCACTGAACAATACTCGCCCCATTTTTGCCTGGTAAACCCTAAAAAAGTTTAAAATTAATAGACCAACTTTCAATTGCAACAATACACACCATAAAACAAGATGTGCCGCTACTATTAATTAATTACCCACTTAATTCAGTCACAAACCAACTCAAGATGATTTCTTTTAGTTCATTCTCCATAATGCCTTGCAAAAGTATCAAAACACAATTAGTTTATTGGATGCAAGACTTTGTTGAAGTATTCTCATCTTGACGTGCAATTAAACAATAACACAGATTTAAAAGAACATTTCTTTTTCTTACCTATAAATATTGAGATGAATGCAATAGGCAAATTATGTCTCCAAGAATTACCATAGATACACCCATTATATTTGTCACAAATTTTTACACTTCAGAAAAGATCATGAAAATTTAAGATAACGAGCACTGTGATGTTGTTATAGGCACAAAATTGCTCCACCCAGATACAAGTACAAGAGGGCCAATTCAAGATCATATGTGTGCTTTCCTCTTTTTTATTTTGTTGGAGAAAATCAAAGTGGAAAATTAAAAGTACATAGCAAAATGATGAAATTAAAGAAGAAAAATCTAGGATTTGAAACTTTGAACACCTTTATCTTTGGATGAAATTAAATTTTTCTAAGAGAACAATAAGGTTAAAGGAATAAAGGAAATGATGGCACTTACCTCCATATTCCTCAATATGACAATGAGATGCTAGCTAGGAGGAGGATCAGAGGTTTCTTGATCATGTTGCCTTGTTGAAAGCAGGAAAAAAGAGTATGCAGACTATTTTGACATAACCAAGAAGCCTTAACCAAAGCTCTCTGTAAAAGTTGGGGATTAGATGTTTTGATTTGTTTCATGAGGGTATCTTTATCTTACTTTTTATCTGCTCGTTACTGTTGCTTCAGTGCTATTCTACAGCTTTTGTACTCTTTGTTGTAGGTTAATCCAGCATTCCTGCTTCCTTTGGGTGAAAGAAAATTTTCAGGTATCCCAGAAAATAGTCGCAGGAATTTATGAAAATATGGGTTTTATATGGTAACTTCTAGGTTCTAGAGTTAATTGAGGTCAAAATTTAAAAGCATGGATACTTATGAAAAGAATTAGGGCCTACAACGGCATTTTCATACGAGTTTAACAATCAATGAAAAAAAAAATCAAGGTTTAGAAAGCTATTTTTGGAACTATGCTATGACTTTAAACAATAAATTAGGGTTAGGGTTGAAATCTGATGGTTATTTTGAAGTAGGATTTGTTAGAATTTGGTAGATGAAAAATCCAAAGAAAACGTAACAGCTGCTCAAATCTCATAAACTTGTTCTCTATTGCAAGGAAAAGAAAAAAACATAGGTATATACGTAGACTGATATCATTCCTAGTCCAATAAGGACTTTAATAAAGATGCAGGCCATAGGGAATTATTGAATTCGAAGAAAAATAAATCCTAAACATTTAGAAAATGCTAATAACACAAGAAAAACAGTAAAATAAAACCCTTAAACTCTCAAACAAAGATTTAAATTGTGATTGCGATCGCATTATATTTATTACGATTACAGATAGAATAAATAAGATAACGGTAATTACGTTATCACGATCATAAATTTTTTTTTTTTTTTTACACAATTCATCACAAATGAAGTAAATATTATGGATAATCATAAACACTCGTATTTTATATTATTTAAAAATTTTTAAGACATTTTAATTACATTTGTTATATGATAAAACCAATTATTTAATATTTTTTTAGTATTATAGCTTAACAGTCAATATACTCATTTAATAGTTATTTAATAAGATATTCATAAATTTTACAAACATGATTAATATAATTAAATAGAATTAAAAAATAGTACCATATGTAAAATTAATTGAAAAAATATAATAGATGAAAATTTTATTTTATCAATTAACAAATTAAATCAATTGTTAGCAACTTAACTTTAATTAAACAAAAAAATGCAATTAAAAATAAAATTAATTATAACAAAATTTTAATGTAAAATTAATGATTATTAAATAATACTTACACATATAAAACACTTATAAAAATAAATTTACTAATCATCATCCTTCATTCTCTTTCAATTTAAATAAAAAATTTCTCAAATTCTTATTTCTCACCAAACTTTCTCTCTTAAATTTTTATTTAAACAATAAAATAAAAAAAAATTATTATTTTTAAACACCATCACGTGACCCAATATCCTCTATTTCTTCTCTACCTACTTTATTCCCCGTGTCTCTATCTTCCCCATTCATTTTCTTTGCATCTTTTTCAATTCCCTTATCTCACAATACATAGCAAACCACCTTATATTACACCCATACTTTTTGCTTCAATTCTATCTTCAAATCTCATTTCATCTCTATCAAGATTGAAAAAAAAGAAAGAACCCATACAATCATTACAATTGGAAAGGGTTACGAAATTTCTAAAAAAGCAACAAAATGTGAAAAAAAAGGTACTTTTAAGTGAATATCTTGTTATTTTCTTAGATTAATTTCTTTTTTTGTTTGTAAATTGAAACATAAAGTTGTTATTGATTGATTGTTGTGATTTGCGATTGATTTTTTTTCTTCTTTTCGGACTTGTGTTATAGCGATCCGTTGTTGCTACTATTTTTCGTTATGTCGCTATTTGCAGTTGCAAAAGACCATTATATATGTGAATCGGTTCTTACACTATAATAGTGGTGGATAACGATTTTGGTGGTACCTCTACTACAAAATCACTTTTTAATTCCCTGTTCTCAAAACCTACAATTTCTAGATCTCTAGAAATTACTAGAATACTTGGCATTTTAAACTTAAGACCAATGAATTAAAAAGTGGTTGGGTTGCGAAATAGCGACTGCTATTTTACGATGGCGGCACCTACTAAAATCGTTATCTATCGTTATTAAGATGTAAGAATCGATTCACATATATAATAGTCTTTCACGGCCACAAATAACGGCACAATGAAAAATAATGACAAAAACATATCACTTAGCTACTTATCAATCCAAAAAAAAAAAAAAAGGAAAAAAACCAATCACAAATCATAACAATCAATCAACAACAACTTTACATTTCAATTTACAAATAAAAGAAAGAATTAATCTAAGAAAATAACAAGATATTCACTTAAATGTATCTTTTTTTTCATATTTTATTGCTTTTTAAAAATTTTGCAACCCCTTCCAACTGTAACAGTGGTATGGGTTTTTCTTTTTTTTCAATCTTGATAGAAATAAGATGAAATTTGAAGATAGAATTGAAGCAAAAGGTATGGGTGTAACATTGGTGACGGTTTACCGTGTATCATGAGATGAAGGATGAAAAAAATGTAAAGAAAATGGTAGGAAAGAAAGAGGCATGGAGAATGAAGTAGGTAGAGAATAAATAGAGGATATTCAATCACATGATGGCGTTTAAAAATAAAAAATTTATTATTTTTTTATTTTATTGTTTAGATAAAAATTTAAGAGGGAAAGTTTGGTGAGAAATAAGAACTTGTGAAATTTTTTATTTAAATTGATATTGAAAGAGAATAAAAGATGATGATTAGTAAATTTATTTTTATAAGTGTTCTATATGTATAAGTATTATTTAAAAATAATTAATTTTACATTAAAATTTTGTTGTAATCAATTTTATTTTTAGTTATTTTTTTATTTAATTAAAATTAAGTTGCTAACTATTGATTTAATTTGTTAATTGATAAAATAAAATTTCATCTATTATATTTTTTCAATTAATTTCACATATGATACTATTTTTTAATTATATTTTGTTATATTAGTTATGTTTGTAAAATTTATGAATATCTTATTGAATACCTTTTAAATGATTATATTGACTATTAAGCTATAATACTAAAAAAATGTTAAATAATTAATTTTATCATGTAAAAAATGTAATTAAAATGTTTTAAAATTTTTTAAATAATATAAAATATGAGTGTTAATGAGTATCCATAATATTTACTTCATTTGTGATGAGTTGTTCAAAAATAAAAAAATTTCACGATCGCGATAAGCGTGATTACTGTTATCTTATCTGTTATGTTTGTAACTATAATAAACATGACAAACCGAAAATACGATCACAACTACAATTTAAATCTCTGCTCAAGACAACAGTATGTACATTAACTTGAAAGAAGCATAATATTTCAACTTAATAGTATCCATTCTAACTTAAATCACTCAACTAATGAAGGCTACAATCTCAAATATTCTTAGTATTTATTTTTTTATTTTTCTCACACTATGTTTGGTAGGAAAGAAAGTGGTGGGAAGGGGAAAAGGTGAGGAATAAAAAGGAATGGGAGGAAGGAAAGTTATTTTTCCTTCATTGTGTTTGCAGTTTGGTATTGGAATGAAAGATAGAGGGCAAAAAAGATGTTAGGGGTAATATTATAAATAAAATTGTTAATTTAAGTTGAATGGGTATTTTCCTCTTACATTTGGAAGGATTGGATTTAGAGAGAAAGAAAAGGCATAAATCCAATCATTTTCCATCTTGCTTCCTATTTTCTTCCTACCAAATGAAAGAAAAAGGTGTAAACAAGGTAATCTTTTTTTTTCACCATCTTTCCTTTCTCTTCCCTTTTACCGAACACACTATTAGAGTTTTTTTTGTCTCTACATCACCTATCATTTGGACAACAAAATATTACCATAGGTAGACCCATTAGGCCTAACAATCTAAAATATAATATAATGACGTGATATGAATACGACACAAAAAAAGGATAAATGTGACGTTATCTAAAATTTTAACAATAATTATATATGAGTTTAACAAATAAAAAAATATATGTTTCATGTTTTTATGTTGACATGAATTGTGACAAGTAATTTTTGTATAAAACACAACGAGAATACACAGCTTTCAATATTTTATATGACACAAATACATAAATCGCAGGTCTAATTATATTTGTCACAAATTTTTACACTTCAAAATACACCATGAAAAATTAAGATAACAAGCACAAGAGGGCAAACTCAAGATCATATATATGTTTTCCTCTTATTTATTTTGTTGAAGAAAATTGAAATGGCAAATTAAAAAGAACATAACAAAATGACGAAATTAAAGAAGAAAAAAGAAGGATTTGAAACCTTGAACACCTTTATCTTTGAATGAAATTCAATTTTTTTAGGAGAACAATGAGGTTAAAGGAAGAGAGGAAGTGAGGGCACTTACCTCCAAAATTTTTCTCAATATGACAATGAGATGCTAGCTAAGAGGAGGATGAGAGGTTTCTTGATCATGATGCCTTGTTGGAAAGTAGGAAAAAAGAGTATACAGACTCCTCTGTTACAACGAACAAGCCTTAACCAAAGCTTTTTGTCAAAGTTAGGGATTAGATGTTTTGATTTGCTATTTCATGAGGGTCCCTTTGTCTTATTTTTTATCTGGTGGTTGCGGTTGTTTCAGCGCTATTCTGCAGCTTTGTACTATTTATAGTAAGTTATCCAGCATTCCTGCTTTCTTTGGATGAATGAAAATTTTCAGTAATGAAAATATGGGTTTTATGCAGTAACTTTTAGGTTTTAGAGTTACCTGAGGTCAAAATTTAAAAGTATGGATACTTTACGAAAAAAATCAAGGTTTAGAAAGCTATTTTTGAACTATGCTATGACTTTAAACAATAAATTAGGGTTGAAATCCAATGGTTTCTTTGAAGTAGGATTGGTTACATTTTGGTAGATGAAAAATCCAAAGAAACATAACAGCTGAAGATATCTCATAAAACCTAACATATAACGCTGCTCAAATCTCATAAACTTGTTCTATATTGCAAGGAAAAGAAAAAAACATAGAATTTTGACAAAATAATTGCTAAACATTTAGAAAATGCTAATAACACAAAAAAAAATAGTAAAATAAAACCCTTGACTGTATATTCAATAACTTGAAAGAAGCATAAGATTTCAAGTTAAAGATATCATTCTAACTTAAATCAATCATACAACTAATGAAGGCCACGATCTCAAATATTCTTAGTATTTATATTTTATATCTCTTACACTATATTTGGTAGGAAGGAAAGAAAATGGAAAGAAGGGAAAAAGGTGAGCAAACATAAAAGGAAAGTTATTTTTCCTTCAATGTGTTTGTTTGGAGGATGGAAAATAAAGGGAAAGAAAGATGTTAGAGATAAAATTGTTAATTTAAGTTGAATAAGTATTTTCTTCTCATATTTGGAAGGATTGGATTTGGAGAAAGGAAAAGGTATAAATCCACTCATTTTTCTTCTTCCTATTTCCTTCCTACCAAACAAATGAGATGATTGAAAGACTCTCTCTCTCCTATCAAACACAATGTTTTATGTCTATACATCACTTATCCTACAGAAAATAAATAAACCCAATTCCTTAATTTATACAAATATAAAAACCAATTATAGTAGATCAACAAACCTTCATCTCAAACCAGATAAATTCAATATATATAGATATCCCAACAAATTTTCTAAATAAATTTATCAATTTTTCCAAACAAGATTTAACAATATCAAGAAACTACAATAAAATGTATAAATTTTTTTTAGCAATTAAAAATCTGTTTACATTATCTATTAATATCTTTAATAAAGTCAATTCCTCCACATGCGTTTGCATTTCAAACCAACATAAGAGTCATTCACTAATACATGCTATTAATACATTCTACGCCAAAGTATGCGTTAAGTAGAACAAATTAGGGGAAACCTACCACATTAGGGCTTATAATGGTGGCCTAAAGGTAGAAAATGATTTTAGTTTTTGCAATGGTAGAACTAAATCTTAAGGTTTAGGAATCAATTCTGGTTTGAACCAATTAAGAATCAAAAGAGTGCAAGAAATTAATGTAACAAAAAAGTTTGAATGTAGAAGTTTAAAGGGTTATTTTGTGCAATGATCAGCATGTTGAAAATGCCATAGCAATAAAAAGAGAAGAAGATGACGAAGAGAGCAAGAGTATAAGACATTTCACTAAGCATACATGCCTAATGAAAACAAAGTACTCACAATTTCATTAAACAAAATCCTAGAGAAAGATGAAGATCATATAGGTACTTATAAAGACTTTTTAGACTACTTCAAAAATCAAAACTGACTAAAACTATCCTGCTGAAATCATTATTAGAGTTTAAAATGAGCCTTAACTTAGGTAAACTAAAAGCCCTAAAACTTCGGCAAACAATAATGGGGCAGGCCAGTTAGGCGTCTGAACTCTCATCGATAGATCATGAAGATTACATTGGATTATTACTATTCAAAACCCAAACTTTAAGTTCGTCTGAGACTACCGCTACATCTTACAAAATTGAATATAACAAAGATTACAATCATATCATTGAGATTATATTATCAAAATCAACTCAGGAGTCTTATTTTGGTTCTTTAAAACAAAATAGTGCTAGCAGTAATGTAATTGAGTTTTCCCGATCAATCTACTAAGTTGCCTGTACTATTAAGATAAGATAATTAATACTATTAATGCTTTGCTTCGTATTAGTTTTTTTATCATGGTAAAGAACATTATTGACATACATACAAATATTTTTATTATCAAATCCAAATAGATGAAAATGGCATTTGATGCATGCATGGCCAATAAAACCAGTATACCAATGATATCTTTATTAGCCATTGGATAAAACTACCTTCAAAAGATCTCCGAAGTATTTTCTTTTTGAATTCATCAGGCATCCTTTCGATTTTATGTCAATCTTAAATGTTATGAACCTTATGATAAACTTCACTAAAGAAAACATAGAATTTCCATATTATACATCTTCAAAAAATAAAATAAACAATCCACTCCATTTTAGATTAGGAATCATCAAACACTTTTCAACATTAATTTTTTCTTTGTCAAGTAAAAATTTCAGTAAAAGTTATTATAAAATATAAGACACATCCAAAAAGCAGTGGCAAATAAGTTACCTAGACAAACTTATCTTTCACATTAGCGAAAATCAAGGTGACAAGGAAACTCTTATACAACACACAGCATATAAGCAAGATATGTATACAGCCTACAAAGAACAATATAATCAAAAGAAGAATAGACCCTATAATCTTGAATTAAGAAAAGAAATTGCAAAGCCAGCATGAATAAGTACTACATTAGGAATCTAACAAATAATTTGTTTTAAATGTTGACAATATATAAAAGAACATCCTACAATCATTCAAATATGCCAAAGATAAGCACTGTGGATCAAAACTAACAATAAAAACTTAACATGATTGTGAAAACAAACACAAACTACAAACAAAAACCTGCAACACACCAAAATCACATTCTGTTACCGTAACAATGATACAACTTTCTTAATATAAGTGTGTATTAGTGCAATGAGGAAAAAAGGACCACTGAATCTAGCTATTTAAGTAGATACAAAGTACAATCCTAAGAACATAACTTTAATTAATTGAATACTTGAAACAAAATAGATAATACATGTAGCTATATGGATCTAACATCTCAATGAGTTTTCCATTTCTTCTTTCTAATGATGAAAATAACTTCATTCCCTCAAATCCATATCATCTGAGTGATTAAAGTTTAGATCTCAACTAGAGAATGGCAAACTAAAAATCAAATTATTCACAATAAAACTTATAAGTGAGAATTATGAGACAAAATCTTATTGCCATTGGCCAGTCATCTAGAAAATCATTTTGTCAAATTAAACAAATATGATAAATTTCAATAAAGAAAACATAATATTAACATTACAGATAAACTACTAATCCAAAGGACCTTCATCTGAGCAATATAGTCCATTTTAGATAAGGAATAACCTAAACAATTTTTTCCAATTTTTTTTTCAATAGAAGTTGAGAAAAAACACTTAACCAATCCAAGGAAAAGAAGAAAGAAAAAACACAGTGTAAAAGTCTTAAAGAAGGCAGCTTTTATGTCTTGTTGGTAATCTTAATTGCTTTGTTTAAGTAATTAAGAGTCAATCAAACTTAAGAAGATTCATATTTCATAACCAATTTGTAAAGATGAGGGAAAATTTTTGGACAAAAGTACCCTTCTTACTATAAAATACAAATCACTCTATCATCAGTAATTTTATGTTGATATCAAGCAAGATATCCAAAACAGGCACTTCCTATCTATAAGACACCTACCAAAGCCCATCTTCAATAATTTAAACTGAACACCTAATGGTTATAGTAGTTGTCATTATAGACCCAATACTAGTAGAATCATTAAAAATTGTAGTAGTGAAAATAGCTACACTTATTTTCATGGCAAGGAAGGTAGTGAAGCAAGAATTGGTGGTGGTACAACAATGGTGACAATTATAATGACAGTTACTTTGATTGCACCACAAATTACACAGCAGATATAAATAAAAATACCTAAACAAGATTAGCTCATTAGAATATTATATTAGAGAATAAGAAACATCTTCAATTCATTACTTAATGCATTAATGATGTAGGTGTATTCCAAAACTTATTTAAAGTTCAAGATTAAGTTTGAAAATGATCTTTAGTGCTTAATTATGTTATCATATACTAAATATTTATTATTTTCATATATTTATCATAAGCTGTGCCTTAATGTTCGAAGAGTGTGTTGAAAGACCTTCCCATAATATCAAAGAAATATAATCCATCTCTCTCTTTGACAAATTCAATACATCTTGCAAATGGTTTTTTTTTTTTTACCTGTGCATAGGTTAAGATAACATATCAAACAAGAATTTTAAGGCTTGTATTGCATTTAATTTTCAATGCAATGAAAGCAAAAATATTTCTGAAAGAAATAACTTAACCTGTGCCCTAAAGGCGCAAAGCAAAAAAACCATTTGTATAGAGCAACTATTGCATCTTGAGAAGCAAATCATTGTAGACTCACCAACAACGAAGAAGGGATTACAAATATATATTAAAGTTAAAAAGTATATCAGGAACTAATGAATGATTAGACAAAAAATACACATATGTACATAAAACAATAGATAAATGATCAAACAATAAATTGATGATTAATGTTTCATTAAAAGAATTAACGCAAAATTCAAATTTTAGCTGTATGAGAAAGTTGAGTTACCTGTATTGCGGCAACAAAGATAGATACTGAGAAAAGATAATTTTGTACAGATCATATGACAACGATAAAGAGCACGCTTGTACACAACTATGTCCTTACATAAATAAAAATTAGCGTGCTCTCTTTCATTATCATTTGATAATATATCAAATCTCAAAGTAAAATCTGCAAAAAAAAAAAAAAGGACATATTAAGAATATGTTGCAGAGAAGCATTGCTTAACAGAAAAGATGCTCTAAACATAATGATTTGCTCACTGACTTAGAAAGTACAAGCGGTTTTGTTATATTGACTGTCATAGAACATCATAAATTCAGTTTCCATTGACTCCAAAGTAGTAGAAATGCATCCAAAACTCATGATTCTAGCAATCCCGAAAAATTAAAGATAAATGTAAAAATATCATGTAAGTACATGCAGAAAACACTTATAATTACATAATCCTCTATGCGCAAAATCTGTATAGACAAAGTGGCATCTAAGAACATTTCTTTGAAGTCACCAATATCTTATATTCATAAACATCATCAGCTATGACACTCGAAGAAACACAAAGAAAAACAATCATAAGATTCCCATGAATAGGACCGAAAACACAAAGGTATAATACTGTCTGATACATATAGTAGTGCTGACAGAAATATGGGTTCTTTTCAAACATGAAAGTAGATGGGGTTTCCTTTTAACAGACAGGAATTTGAACTTTGGATAATTAAAAACATATAACGAGAATCAAAAGTCAAAATATCAGGTAACAGCATAGGATTCAAGACAAGATAGTTCCATAAAACATAATTTTGAAAGCATTGATTCTGAAAATAAGTAATATCACATACAGTGACAAATGACAACTTTGATCTAAATTTACAAAGAAATATCCTGGGAACCTTTCCTATCCTATCTATAGTTTTCGTTATAGATGCAGCTAGTTATCACCAAAAACCCACCAGAGTCTCCCTAACAGGACAAGCTGATGGAAAAAGGGGGAACTTTTAGATGTAATCATGCATATATATTATAAAGGCCTAGCTTCAGCCATAAACAATTTCTAAGGACTAAGGATAAACAATTTAAAAAACTGATCAAACAACTTAAGATTTGCAAATTTTTTATTAAAAAAATAGCCAATAATATTGTTTAAACACACGCACACAAACACACAAAAAGAGCAAATAAACCAAAATTTTTCTAGTCTTTGTTTTCTCCATATTTCTCAGCAACCAAGACCAAGTCGGTTTAAAAAAAAAAAGACCTAAAAATAAAGTCCAAACTAAAGCATTATTAAGATTTCTAGAAGAAACAAAGATGAGTTTTTCTCACTCAAAGCCAAAAAAAAAAAAGTCTTAGGAAAACAATTAAAAGCAAAAAGACTTAAAATATGCTAAAATTTTACAAGCATAAACAACCCTAACCTTAAAATTCACAGAAAAAGAGAGAGCCTAAAACAAAGTTCAGAAAACCTTGATGATGAACAACCTTGAACCTGAATTCCCAGATCCAAACCCAATTCTTCAACCAGGAAAAACATTAAAAATTATATATGAAGCAGAAAGTACCCACTAGGCCATTTGCACTGCTGCATAGTCAAAAACAAAACATTTGGTGGAAAGAAAAAGGTGAAAAGAAGGAAGCGTTTCTCCAGAAAAATAAATAAAAAAAAAAAGAGAGAAGAAAACAAAAGATTAATGATTAATAAATGGTAGATGAAAACAATGGAGAATTCCAACAGTTTTCCATCCAATTCCAGGAAAAGAAAAAAATTAAAAAAAAAAGAAAAATACTATATTAATAAAAAAGATTAATAATTAGTGATAATTAAAAGGTTTGAAGAGAGCTCTTGCATAATTGCAATTGATGATACGAGGGTATCGTTTCGAAATCCGCCTCTTTGTCAAGGATCATACAAATGGATTGATCCAACGGTCCAAATCTTAAGACGTTGTATCGTACGGTACAATATAAGATTGAAAAACCAAAAGCACATAAGTACAAGACCAAATAGGATTAGATCCTTGCCCTGTGCACAACTGTACCTGATTGTTACCGTGGCTTTACAGCTCGTGAAGGAAACGTACAGTTAGGATGGAAGGGATGTTTAAAAGGGTCATTTTCCAAGGTTGGTGGGGAGTCAATTTGGATGTGAGGTGCAGTGGGGCGTGGGTTTAACGGTCAAATGTTTTAGTTTTTTTAAGACTAAATGCTTAATTATAGATTTGGATGATTTTGAATTACAGATCAAATATTTTATTTAATTTAAATTAAAATCAATCATTTTTAGATATGTTAAATAAGGAAATTTTGTAAAGGAAAGTCGAAAGTGCAATACACGCGTCCATTAAATCTATTAATAACATAGGTGGTAAGAGAAAAGCCACGTGTGCATTTGAGGTAAAAAAATTAAAATAAGATTTATTTTTAAAAAAGATCAAACTATTTTTGTTTTTTTCTCTCTTTTTTCTTCTGCCCTTCCACTTTTTTCCCACTAAAAGCACGCATCTCAACCCTTTTTTTTTTGTTATTTTCTTCTTTCTCCGTAACCGTAGGATGCAGCCAGCTCCATAAACAAAGTTTGAATCTTGTCAACGGTTTTATTACCTTGTTCAGGTTTAACAAGGGCGAGTTGCTTTAGAATGGGATAGTAGATGTTGGCTGGATGGGAGATCTTTTTGGATGTGAGGAAGGGAAGGAGCGGTGGTTGAAGGAGGAGACGATGCGAAGAGAGGGATGCTGGGTCTCCATGGCTGAGTTTTTTTAGTGGTTTGGAGTCGGGTCTCAAGTTGGGTGCGAAAGGATGTGATGAGTGCTACGGTGTCTTCGTTGCCTGGGGTAGGGGTGAGATAAAAAATATCGCCTGGGAAAAGGGTCGAGAAGAAAATAAAGAAAATCGAAACGATATGAAATTATTGTGGTTGATTCCATTAGGATTGAATTTTTTACTTCATTCAGATTAAATTTAAATCGAATTTTGAACTAAAAGATAAAAATTAAAAAAATAAATTCAATTGATTTATATATTGTATAAAATTTTATTAAAAAAATAATTTTATATTAAATTTATTTAAATAAATTAAATTTTTATATAAAAATAATATCTAAATTAAAAATTAAATTTTAAAAATTAATAAACTAAACTAAATTAAATCAAATCAATAAAATTTAATTTAATTTAAATAAAATTATATAAAATTTAATTTAAAATTTTAAAATTTATAATATTATATAATATTTAAAAAATTAAACCGAATTTGATTCAACTTTAATCATATCATTTCAATCGGTTTGAATATCTATGTTTGTGTTTTTTTCACTTTTATTACTGTTTATGTGCAACGAAGTTGGGGATTTTAGGATTGTAGTATTTTTTATTCAAAATCTTATTTTTTTCAATCAGACTAAGGGTAGGGATTTAAATTTTTTTTTTCAATTCGATTAAAAATCATGAAAAAATAGAAAGGCGAGAAGAGAAAATCTAGGTTTTTTGTTTTTTTATTAAAAGAAAAGCTAGGTTTTGAGCTTTCTTCTTTACTTCAATTATGCAGAACAATTTTCTTTCCAATAATAATTTGCTTTAATTTATGATTTTGTTATAAAGTTAGGTTTAATTCTTTCATTTTTAATGTTAGACTTTTTCTTATGTGCCCAAAATCTAATAAATGAGCCCATGTCATGCCAAATGGGCAAAAATTGACATGACAGCATTAAATTTTAAGATTTCACGCTAGTTAACGGAGCGTGCCGCTCCCTTTCATTTTTCTGTTACGGGAAATCCTTATTTGGTACATTCAAAAACGTTAAATTTTTATTATATAAAATAAAACGCTTGATCAATAATTAAAATCATTCTAAATATTATATGTACCAATTTGAGCATTAAAATTTTTTTTTATTCCTTAGAAGTAGGGATAAAATCACTAAGATGCTCCATGTTGCTTGGATTACGACGTTGTCCTTTGTGGTCCTGGCGGATGGCTGCAAGAACCAAAGCTTTTCCTCGTTTCCAGACAAAAAAAAAAACAGGGGTTCAAGACAGAAGATTATTATTCAATAGCTATCTTAGCAGTATAGCGATGCTATAAATTTGATTTGGGTGGCTATTTTTTTAATTGATTTTAATTTTCTATTAAGATAGTGGTTTAGATAATTTCATTAAATATTTTTATTAAAATAATTGTTTGTTTTTAAAAGACAAGCATTTACAGTAAAAATAAAGCATTTAGTTGTTTAAGATAAATAAAGAAGTTAATACAACGGTAAGCAAATTTTTGTATGTCGAAAGTGTTTTTTTTATTCATCAAATCAAACTTAGATAAAAATAACTAAGATTGGTTTAGCATTTCCTTTGGCACTCAAAATGTAATTTAGGGCTAATTTAGTATTTCAGTTGTGATTGAAAAATATATGTTTAAAAAATATGATAAAAATGTAATTAAAAATTCTACTATTTTGTCCTTTTTTTAATCTTTTTTTATTGAGATGTCTCAAAATTATATCATATTTTTTTTAATATCTAAAATTCTTAATTTTTTATATTTTAAAATTATTTTTTATGATTTTTAATTTTTTGACATTAAAAATCATGAAATTTTAATTTTATAAAAAATTTAAAATTTAATAATAAATGCATTAAAATAGAAAAAAATTTAAATTCCATGAATATCATTACATAACAAATATTTTGAACGGAGGGAGTAAGTATTTAATATTGCTGTACAAAAATGTCATGAGTAATTAAAATGTCTAAAATTATACACATAAAATAATAAAATATTAAAAATATATGATAATTTAATAATTTTATCCAAAAATACTTTTTATTATAAAAGCACATTTTAGGTGTTTTTTATTTTAGTTACAAAGTCAGACTTTTAAACTGAAAAGCCATTTTTTTTCGTTGTTTAGTAATAAAGTTAAGTAAAAAAACAATTTTTAAATACAAAAATTACTTTCAACAATAATATTAAATTAGTTCTAAAGATAGTGTGGTTTGATTCCAAAATTGTTTTAACTATGTATAGACTTCAAATCAATCGAAAAACTCGAGGAAGTGTTTTTACACTTTTTATTATTTTGAAATTATAATAAAATTATCCTTTACATTTTTTTAATAAATTATCTTTTTCTTTATTCTTTGTTAAACATATTGCATTACCTTCTTTAGATACTGATGCATTTTGAACTTAAAATAAACAGATACTGTGTACAAATTGCAAGTTTTCCTACTTTAATCCAGTTTGTAAGCTATGGAATTTTATTTTGGACTTATAGAAGTACCTTTCCACAGAATCTAGGCTACTGCGTAGGTAGAATTTGAAGTCTCTGATTGTCAGGCATTGACGTTTTTGATATATGCATATGAGTAGAGCTGAAGTTGAACAGATCCCAGTAATAAGAAACAAACCCCCAAAGCTATCAAGGTTTAGGCTGCTGGGGTTAGTCGTAGTAGAGTCCTGGTTTGAAAAGCTTGACTCACTGTTGAACCATGCATTTTCTATCATTTGCAGCTTTCCTCCCTCTCTTAGCCTCAAAATTGCACCTGAAATGTCTTGGACCAGGGATTAAATCAACAAAGACAATCAACAAATTAAAATCATGGGTGAATATTAATTGTTTCATTTAGTAATTAGATTTTATTCTGAAAAAAATACTTACGAAGCCGAACCCACCTGATGTAGAATTGGATTTTAGCATGATATAATCAGCAGAGTACTGGCAAGGAATACTTTAATGTATGGTATTTCATCATAATGGCAGACACACCACCGTTCTTACTTCCCAATTGTAAAGCATTGGCATATTCAAGTGGAGATTGGTATATCTTTACCCCCGGATTTACAAAATTTAAGTTGCTACCAGCTCCTTGGAGTGAAACAGCTGAATGATATCCTATGGAGTCATCCATTGAGATCCATTGAATATGTTGAACTGCTAACATGGTACTCAAAGTTGCAGTATAGCTTAAGCATAATATAAGCACAGCGAACACCCATATTATAACAACAAACTTTGACAAGTTGCTCAAGAGCTTCTCGCCGGCAGATTTGAATTGTAGTAAGAAGATTGCATGCAGTTAGCTCTGAGTTAATTGTGATTAAAGCGTACATGCATTAAGTCAACATGTATATTTAGAGTACTTACTTTGGGCAAATACAAGAGTTGAGAAGGAGAACCAAAAGATCGTTCCAATTTGCTTAGCTGGTGGGCCTTGGAACTCATCGTTGATGGGATGTTCAATAAGCCAAACCACAAAGCCAGTGAAAATAAAAGAAAGGCAGCAGTGGTTATCCACAGATTCCCAGCAAGAGGCTTCAGAAAATCCACATATTGTTTTGTTGGTTTTCGCAATACCATTTCCAACGCCTAAGTCAGTGTATGGCAATGTGAAATTCAACCTCTGAAACATCTGCTGGCGGTGATAGTTGTATCTCCCACAACAGATCATTAATTCTACTCCGTTGATCATAAGAAAGAATATGTAAATCACACATTGCAATTACTATTATAGTGATATACTATACTCACATTAAAGAAATTATGTCATAAGAAAGGGAATGGTATATTTGAATTAAGTGAAAGGAAAGCTAACATTAACATTTCCGCATCTCATACTACAAGTCTACTCTTACAACCTGCTATTGCCTGGAAAAGCATTTCTCACCGTTGAGATAACATTGATGGATAAGATTCACTGTAGTATCTAGCCGCTGATCCGCTGGCATTTTCAAACGGGATAAACTCATACTTTACCTCGTAATCTGAAGTTTCAATGGCTGCCTTAAACACATCTACACTGAAGGTTAATTAATTCGCTGAATCGGCCATTTTTCATTGGAACCGCAATCCTCAACTTCTTACCACACAGAGACCAACCTTTTGGAATGTTCATATTTCCTCCTGGCTAAATAACAGCTTCAAGTTTACTGGATGATGTCGAATTCATCTCATATCGGTTGTCTTGCTTCGTTATTTTGGTAATTCCATTTTCTGGAGTCCAGTAACCAACTATTCTTTCTCCCTTGAATACATTTACTATTTCAAATTCCTTAGGGATCAGCCTGGCATTAGCAAGTTGAAAGCCACCACTTATACCCTTGAATCTAGTCTGCAATATCTCATCAATAAATAACAAACCACTTTCTGAAGAGAGGATGGTCGTGAAGTTCATAATCAATCTGGTTTCTTGGTGTATGATATCAGGATGTCCAGCCTTCACCTTTTCTGCTGCTGTTGCAAGAGCCCAAACCATGTCATATGTCCATTACCATAGACATTTTGCTCCATTTCCTGTGAATTTTTAGTTTTGATAAACTTTTGCTCGTCCATCTTATAGTGAAATTGCGAAGCTCCTTCGATGTTGGAATGTAAGGTTTGAACCCCACCACCCCTTGCATTGACTCAATGAATGATGGTTCCATTGAATGCAAGAAATTCATAATCATATCAGTTGCAATCCAAGCAGACCCTAGACTTATCATTCCCAGTTGTTTGGCATTTAAGAAAAAGCGAGATGCAAGAGAGGTTGACGTCTGCACCACATACACAGTAGTCTGCAAACTCATGAGCTTCTGGAGCTGCTCAATGATTTCGTCATCTGCAGATGATGCTAAAACGGCAATATGATGGGCAAGACGAACATCTGTCCCTTCAAGAGAAGTGATGACTTTAGGGAGAAGTTCTCTTGCAGAATCATTATCTTCATAAATGAGGATAATGTTTTTCCAACTAAATGCTTCAACGAAGGTAGCAATGCCTTTGGCTTGAGAGGACTCATCTTGACCAATTTGAATCAATTAAGGATACTCAGAAAAGGACAGGGATGGACCATCCGCAGAGATAGAAATAATTGGAACTTTTGCTCTGGATCCTAACTCTGCTAAAATAAACACAAACTACAAACGTTTGTATTTCAAACCAACATGAGAGTCATTCACTAATACATGCTATTAATACATTTTACGCCAAAGTATGCGTTAAGTAGAACAAATTAGGGGAAACCTACAACATTAGGGCTTATGATGGTGGCCTAAAGGTAGAAAAGGATTTTAGTTTTTGCAATGGTAGAACTAAATCTTAAGGTTTAGTAATCAATTCTAGTTTGAACCAATTGGGAATCAAAAGAGTGCAGGAAATTCATGCAACAAAAGAATTTAAATGTAACAGTTTAAAGGGCTATTTTGTGCAATGATCGGCATGCTGAGAATGCCATAGCAATAAAGAGAGAAGAAGATGTAAAAAAGAGCAAGAGTAGAAGACATTTCAGTAAGCATGCATGCCTAATGAAAACAAAGCACTTACAATTTCATTAGACAAAATCCTAGAGAAAGATGAAGATCACATAAGTATCTATAAAGACTTTTTAGACTACTTCAGAAATCAAAACTGACAAAAACTATCATACTAAAATCATTATTAAAGTTTAAAAATAGCCTCAACTTAGGTAAATTAAAAGCCCTAAAACTTCAGCAAACAATAATGGGGCAGGCCAGTTAGGCGTCCGAACTCCCATTCATCGATCATGGAGATTATATTGGATTATTACTGTTCAAAGCCCAAACTTTAAGTTTGTCTAAAATTGTCGTTGTATCTTACAAAACTGACTATCATAAAGATTACAATCATACCATTGAGATTATATTATCAGAATTGACTCAGGAGTCTTATTTTGGTTCTTTAAACCAAATGGTGCTAGTAGTCATGTAATTGAGTTTTCCTAATCAATCTACTAAGTGCCTGTACTATTAAGATAGGATAATTAATACTATTAATGCTTTGTTTTGTGTTAGTTATTTATCATGGTAAAGAACATTATTGACATACAAATATTTTTATTATCAAATCCAAATAGATAAAAATGGCATATGATGCTTTTAGGGCCAATAAAACCAACATATCAATGATATCTTTATTAGCCCTAGGATAAACCTACCTTTAAAAGATCTCCAAAGTATTTTCCTTTTGAATTCATCAGGCATCCCTTCGATTTTATGTCAATCTTAAATGTTATGAATCTTATGATAAATTTCACTAAAGAAAACATAGAATTTCCATATTATACATCTTCAAAAAATAAAATAAGCAATCTACTCCATTTTAGATTAGGAATCATCAAACACTTTTCAACAATAATTTTTTCTTCTTCAAGTAGAAATTTCAGTAAAAGTTATTATAAAATATAAGACACATCCAAAAAGCACAAGCAAAGAGGTTACCTAGGCAAACTTATCTTTCACATCAGTGAAAATCAAGGTGATGAGGAAACTCTTATACAACGTACAGCATATAAGCCAAATATGTATACAGCCTACAAAGAATAATGGAATCAAAAGAAGAATAGACCTTATAATCTTGAAGCAAAAAAAGAAATTGCAAAACCAGCATGAATAGTTACTACATTAGGAATCTAAGGAGTAATTTGTCTTAAATGTTGACAACATATAAAAGAACATCCTACAATCATTCAAATATGCCAAAAATAAGCACTATGGATCAAAACTAATAATAACAACTTAACATGATTGTGAAAATAAACACAAACTACAAACAAAAACCTGCAACACACCAAAATCACATTCTATTATCTTAACAATGATACAACTTTCTTAATATAAGTGTGTATCAGTGCAATGAGGAAAAGAGGACCACTGAATCTAGCTATTTTAGTGGATACAAAGTACAATCCTAAGAACATAACTTTAATTAATTGAAAACTTGGAACAAAACAAATAATACACGTAGCTACATGGATCTAAAATCTCATTAAGTTTTCTATTTCTTCTTTCTAATGATGGAAATAACTTCATTCCCTCAAATCCATATCATCTGAGTGATTAAAGTTTAGATCTCAACTAGAGAATGGCAAACTAAAAATAAAATTATTCACACTAAAACTTATAAGTGAGAATTATGAGATAAAATCTTATTGTCGTTGGTCAGTCGTCTAGAAAATCATTTTGTCAAATTAAACAAATATGATAAATTTCAATAAAGAAAACATAATATTAACATTACAGATAAACCTATCAATATAAAAGACCTTCACTTGAGCAATATAGTCCATTTTAGATAAGGAATGACCCAAACAATTTTCTTTAATTTTTTTTCCAGTAGAAGTTAAGAAAAAACACTGAACCAATCTAAGGAAAAGAAGAAAGGAAAAACACAGTGTAAAAATCTTGAAGAAAGCACATTTTATGTCTTGTTGGTAATCTTAATTACTTTGTTTAACTAGTTAAAAGTCAATCAAACTTAAGAAGATTCATATCTCATAACCAATTTGTAAAAATGAGGAAAATTTTTTGTACAAAAGTACCCTTCTTACTACAAAATACAAATCACTCGATCATCAGTAATTTTATGTTGATATCAAGCAAGATATCCAAGAGAGGCACTTTCTATCTACAAGACACCTGTAAAAGCCCATCTTCAATATTTTAAACTGAACACCTAATGGTTATAGTAGTTGTCATTATAGACCCAATGCTAGCAGAATCATTAAAAATTGTAGTAGTGAAAGTAGCTACACTTATTTTCATGGCAAGGAAGGTA